CATAACTGGAAACATGTTTACGAAGGAAGCGACTCACCGTTTCTTCCGGTCTTTTGTAAGCGCGAAGCAGCTGAAGCATACGATTAACTGTATAAACGAGAAGGCGTACATAGAAATTGCAGAGATGCTCGAACCGCGATGTTTTGACATGGCTACTCATCAAACACAATGATGAGACAACTAAGCGCCATTTAAACTGCGAAGTCGTAAGATCATAGGATCGACAAGCGATAACAACAATCATCTTTCTCATATGTGCGCGAATAACAATAATTAAGTGGAACGATTTGTCAACAGAGATCCTCGCAAGTTTCAGCTACCGCAATTTGTCTTTCCTCTATTCATTATCCCGCTCGACAGTCGCAGACGGTCTTAAATAATTCAACTTATAACTTGGAACGAAGAGAGTAGTGAGGGAAGAAATGGTCGTTAGTTTTTTTCCTCGTTATATGTATCCTTCCAATACGTTGAGAAATTGTTCATACGCGATCATGATGAAAAGTATGACTTTATATAAGAAACTTTATAAGACAAGAAAGGAAACAAACCCGGCGAGTGAGGAACAAAGAAAGAGAGAGTCTCCCGGCAAATTGATCCACAGCGCGGCTTCTCGGTCCGCTTTACATGCCATTTCCACTCCGTCTTGCAATCGAGAGAGATGTATCGATCTCTCTCCCTCTCTCTCCTCCATCGTCGAAGGAAGCGGGTCGATTGTCGCTTACCTCATTGAGAGCGGCTCTTTCGCTCGGCGAGCCGTGTCGTCGCGCCTGCTTTTCCTACCTTCGTAACCGACATACCCTTCGCGACCGGCCGAGGAAGACTACGTTACGCGATCGCGGGGCCGCTTCCACGATCAACGTCGCCACGGCAAGCGGTACGTTCTCGCGAAAACGCGACCGCCAGTTACGAACATTTGCATATTGCAAAAAGCGCGCGAATACCGGCCGGCGATCGTTTGCGAACGAACAGCCGGCCGGCACGCGATCCGTGCTGAGTCGATGTTCATCCACTCAATACCACACACTCGATTGAAACTATCCAGGAATCACTCGTTCACTCGATCGCCGAAACACCGCCGGTTTCGTGGCTGCTGCTATCCGTTCGGTAACCGCGACCGCCTCAGGTGAACTGAATGGAATTACGGTGCGGCGGTTCTGTTGGCATCACGACGATGAACGGCTACCTGTCGGTGCTCAACACAGCTCGGCCGGCTGCTTCGCGCTGGTGAACATTGAGGACCGCTGCGGTTAGTCGGGTAGAGTAGGAAATAACGATGACGTGAAAAGATGATGAGAGAATGGGTAATTTTACACGAATTTCTTTCGTCGTTTCAATTCCTTCTCCTCGATATCTTCCGTCCCACCTGGCCGGAAGCGCAGCACCTTGAATAACCTGCGGCAACAAGGTGCGTTTCTGCACTCGGTCGTGACTCGGTGTGCCGCGGAGTGCAGCGTAGGCGAGCGAATTCGCGATTAGTTAATACGCTTCATCAAAACGCGACGCGCGACGCCGCGCGGCGCTCGCGCTCCACGAGTATCTCTCTCTCTCTCTCTATTTTGACCGGCTCGGCTTTTCAGAGGCTCTTCCGCTCCGCACGGAAGTGTTAAACGGCACTTACACGTCAATGACGCGTTCGACGAGGTGACTCACTGATTATTAGCTGGTGCGGTTATTTATCAAAGCGCGACGCGACACCGAGTCGATGCACTTCTTTCCTTTCGACCGGTTCAGGTGAGCGAGAGAGGGTAAGAGAGGGGAAAGAGTTTTCCGGTCTGCGGGAAAATCCCCGCCAGCACTTAACGAGAGACACTTAAGCACTCTGGACTGTTCTCCAGACGTAGTACCGAAAACACGACGCGAGAAGAAAGAGAGAGAGAGAGAGAGCGCGAAAACGCGAGACACGAGGACACGGCGGCTTACCATTATAAATAGTTGCGGCCGAGACGACTAGAAGCTCGCGACCAATGTAACGGACGAAGAGGGAGAGGAACAACAAGCGAAGGAAGAGGACGGTGACCAAGCCGGAGGGAAATAGCGATAGGTCGGCGTTAGCGATGGGCTCGAACGACCATCGGGGACGACGCAGCTTGAACGGGCTCTCACCTGAGCAACCGTCGCGTACTCGCCGAGTGGACGACCCAATCTAATTCGGGATTGAACTTTAAGGCCGGTCAGTCGAAAGCGGAGAGCTCGCACGGACGACGTGGATCGTGTGGACCGATAGGAATCAATTGTACAAGTTCGTTTCTTCCATTTCTTTTCCATTTCTGCTCTTTGCGGAAGAGATTAGTTCTTTTCCGATATTTCTTGACGCTTCTATGCACGGTTCTGACCTGAGTCTTGTAAAAGGTACGCATTGTTTTCTCTCTCTCTCCCTCTCTCTCTCTCTCAAAGTCTGACTTCATTTGAAAGTAATTTGTACCACTTTCGTCACAAAATGAGAATCGAAGTTAGAATATCTCGACTTTCTTCTGGGATTAATTTTTATTGAATTTATGTATCATGTCTAAATTATAGTGCTTGCATGGTGCTTTAAAGTTAGAATTAAATACTGTGATGATTATTGTACATCCTGAGAGAGTTACCCTACACCGGAAAAAGGATTTGGTAGCAATTGTCAGGATTTCGTTAAATAGTTTCAACTAACTTTGGTTACTGCAACCAAATCATTTAGTATATTGTAGTACCGCGTACTGTATACAGTATATGGCAGTAAATGATTTAGTTGCAATAACGGAACAATTTAATCAAGTCTTGATAATTGTAAATAAATCCTTTTTTCAGGACGATAATAAGAGTTACTCTTTCTCTCTCCTTCCAAAAATACGCTGTATTTTCGCGTTGTTTTTTCGCTACTGCTGCTTTTGGGATGAATCAATAAGTCGTTACTGCAGTGCGCCGGCCATTTAATCTTGCTGTTTACTGCCCGGCTCCTGCGCTAACCCTACTTAAATGAACTATTTAACGTGGCTGGACAATTAATTACTCACGGGACGGGCGGATCGACTCTATCGCTAATCGCGCCGCTTGCCTCGTTCCATCCTCGTGCCTCCGCGTCATTGTTCCCGTCCGCGAACCTGCTTGCAATTCTAATCGCGGCGTATCGTCTGGTGTCCGTTCCTGTCGGCCCACCGCGCGCGATCCCGCCGTGTGTATTTCGTATTCTTGTCGCTTTATCGACCCAAAAGTCACCGACGAAAATCTATTTCCGATGTCGACTTTTTTCTGGCACCGCATTCTGGCTCTTTCGCGCACCGCTGCTATTTTCGTGAAATTATTCCTACATTTATGCGAATATCGCGCGCGCGAGCGCGCACTTGGCGATTTCAACGACGGGCGCTCTTTAATCAGCGATAACGCGCGAATATTTTCGAGCGTAAAATGGTGTCTGCAATGAGAATTTAAGGCGTAAGATATCGAGCCGATCAATCACGGTGTGATTAGTTAATTTCTTACGACTTACGAAGATTAAAACTTAAGAGTTTTTCTACAATAAATAAGACCTAAGCAGTAAGGAAATTGGCCAACCACAGTCGATATTCATATACAGTATTCTCCTAATAAAGGACTGCTTAAGTCTTATTACTTATTGTGGAAAGTCTTAGCCCCCGATCTAAAATACGTATAGTAAGCTTTAAACTCTAAGAAATCGACTAATTAGTCGAGTTGTAAAAGGAAAATCAATTATAATTAGTCAATTTCTTACAGTTTAAGATTTACTACACCTATTTGTAGATCTACAAACGGGATATCTTATACCCCTTATCCACAATCTTAAGACGTGAGCGGTAAAAGCAAATTGACCACGATCGATTATTCTTCTAATGAACGTCTCAAAGCAAGATTGTGAACAAAGGGTTAGTCTTGCGCCTTAAATTCTCACGGCGGCGCGCATGGAAGAAAAATCTCCCGTCTCGAGAACACGCCGTTCTTTCATCCGGGCAGATCTGTAACTTGAAATACGTCTCAAATCTGAAATACCGAAGTTGTCACGCCGCAATGATTCATCGCCATCGTTTTGAAGTTCGCAATCTGTCAAGACTGAAGACGCGAAACGCTTTCAGAATAAACACCTCGTATCGATGGCGTGCGAGGATACGATTTATCGGTTGCGTCGTATTACACGATGGCGAACGACCGAGTCGATTCCGTTGCATTTTGTGCAACTGCCAAATGTCAATATCAACCTATCGCTCGTCGCAGCTTCGCACGGCAAAATGCTGAGTAGGCGCTCAACATGACTCGCTTCTCACGTAAAGTGTACTCGACACGAGTGCGCGCTGTTATTGTGTCAATAAATTTATCACACGGTGTCAGTAAAATATTGTTGTATCTTGTCTCGATAAAAAACGCCTGCGGCAGGCGAGTCTGCGCTCGCTTCCGTATTACCAAGGGCAACTTTACGATAAGAAAACACCGGAAGGCGTGTGGCGTAATGTATGTGTGCCGTAACATACAAGCTGCTTCTATGCAAGTTCCGAGGTCAAATATCATCTTAAAATTGATCAAAGTCACACGAGAGAATGATGAGAGAAGAAAGAATTATCTTTATTTCGAGAACATTACATAATAATGAATTAACTTGGTTTTTCTCTTTTCTTTTTTAATAGGTGTTTTTGCCGCGCTACATCTTCTCACGTGGCCGCAGGAACTCGTGGAGGTGCACGATGTGTGAGCGCGATGCGAAATCCCGTGCGGGATTTTATATATGATAAACCGTTTTATTTTAATTATAATCTCTGTGTGCTTGCGTTTTGTACAGTAGTAATAATAATAATAATAATAGTAATAATAACAGAAGTAGAGAGGAGAAAGAGAGAGGGAGAAAGTGGCAATAATAATAGTAACAATTACAATAGAACCACAGTGGTAGTGATAATAATAACAATAGCAGTGGTAGCCGCAATGGTAGAAGTGACAGTGGTAGTAACAGGCTGGTCTGTTGTAGAAGTAGCGTCAGTCATCCGTTTAGCCCGAGTCTCAGCGAGTTTGAACGTCGATAAGAAGATGATGATAAGGTGAAGTGGCTTCCGGGAACGAAGGTTTCCGCCATGAGGATGTTTCGCTATCGTCGCTATCACTGGCACATTCGACGATTCGACTGGCGATCGCGCGATGATCGCTTCGAGAGCTTGAAGTATGCTTCTTAACATCCATGTACACACGCCGAAAGCAATCAGATGATTTATTCCTCCTCCTCCTCCTCCTCCTCTTCCTCCTCCTCCTCCTCCTCTTCTTCCTCTTCCTCCTCCTCCTCCTCTTCGATCTCCTCTTCGATTTCTTCTTCGAATTGCGGCCCCGCGAGATCCTCGTCAGCCGCAACCTTCACGTCTTCTTCGCCCTCCGGTGAATCGGGGTCGCCGGCCTTCTTGCCCGGGCGCTCGCCGAACCACTTCGGTAGCTTCGCTGTTGTACACGGGAAGTAACGGATTAATTAACTTCGTGCAGCGATCGTGGGAAAAACGTGAGTGAAACGTGGACTATTTCACACGGAGAAGAAATTTGATAACAACACGAGATTCATATTCTCGTATGTAAGCAGGAATCTTATGTGAACAACAAAACTTTAGAATGAGAAATGATGTATAGTTTTATTAAGAATGTCATATTCAAGAGTAATTTTTAAGAATTGAGAGGAAAAAGAAACATCGGAAAGAACGATATCGTCAAATTGATGCAATTCTTAGTTTGAAGATATCCTTCTTCCTATCCAATATTTTTTCTTCTCAATTCATGAAAATTATTTTTGAATAACAAAAATATGATATTTTTAGTGAAACTATATAAAATTTCTTCATGTAAGCAAATTTGATCTTCGATATAAGATTATATATTCTTGCTTAATGTGAGAATATGAATCTGAAATTGAATATGAGTCTTGAATTGATACTAATTTTTTCCTGCACGATCAAGATGAGGATAAATGATGACAAAATAGTTGCGATACTCAGAAACTCTTAACCGAGTTATTTTGCGAAACACTAACGTTTCGTTATCTTTTGAATAACCGCACGGAAAAAATTAGTCTTGAATCAATAATAGGTATTCTCATATATAAGCAAGAATATTATATTCCTCTTAGGAAATGTTTATTCTTAATTTAATTGAACTTGTATTGATGCAAGTGTCACTTGCGCTCAATTCGAGACTAAAAATCTTCTAAGAATATTATAATATTCTTGCTTATATATATATACTCGTATATATATGAGAATATCTATCATTGATCTAAGTCTATTCTTTCTGTGTGTAATGAATGAAATTAATTGTCATTTTATTGTCGCAGGAAAATGGAAAAGTTCTTCCGAATTCCTACGAATATGTGTTCCCGTGGACTTCGGCGCTTCGAGAAATTCCGCAAGCTCTCCCGAAGCTCTCGCTTCGGTGCCGAGTTGGAAGCGTCGAATCTCGAGATTATTATACATACTCTTCTGGCGGCCCAGGAACTGTTCCTTCTGTTCGGTCCATTGTTTCTCTATAAAATCCTTCTGCTGTTTGGTCAGACCCTGAAACACCAACGGACAGAGTGGCATGCTAGGAGTTATTATCACACACGTGTCTTCCGCCTGGAAACCTCCGTATACGTCGTTCTTTCTCCTGCCTCGCAAAGATCTCTTTCCATGAAGAAATTTGGGGGGTTGAGAGAATTAATGTCACTGAAGCTATTTTTGTCACCACTCTTTTAAGTTGGTTACGATCTTCGGGGCTCGCGTCTAAACGGGGTTGAATCGAAAGGCGGCCACTCGCTTGAAACTCTGCTGCGGGAAAACACCGAGAAGTCGTTTTTCCGGCCACGCTCGCGCGAGCGTGAAATTAAAATTGTTAGAGTGCGATTATTGTCACGGTGACTGCTGTCGCATCTCTCTGTCGGGGGGTGAAAAATAGCTGTCGATGCGGGCACAAAAAACGATATTGCCGCGCTTGTATAATCGGGGCAACACGAACACAGCAATAACTCGGGTGGGTTATCTCGACCGTTTAGTGAACAAGGGACGAACGAAGAAATTAGAGACACGATCGTCGATACTCTGTCGTGTGGCTGAGTGGGGGGGTTGCAACCAACAAAGGCAAGCAAAGAGGGACCGTAAAGTGACCGAGAGATCACGGTTGGACTCACTTTTGTTGCGCTTCATAAACTGGTCTGATTTCTCTTTCCACATTTTCTCGTTGGTCTCCGCTAAGATCGTGTCATAACCCTGCGATTCAATCGACTAATCACGATTTCTCCATACGGAGTGATTCCTATCATATATCGTTTCATCAGACGACACAGTGAAAAGAGAATTGCTTTCACGTACAATCGTACACGACAGTGTCTTTGGACCGTGGTATCGTGTCTTTGATGACCGCGGTGTTAAAGTTCACGTGTGGGTGTCGTGAGAAAGTGAGAATTCTGGACTTCGGGTTCTGAATGGAGATCGTTGAGCGAGTTCTGGTCTGAATTAAAAGATAACAAGAGATACGTATGTATACTTACGCCCTCGAAAAGTTTTTTCTTGTCGTCGTAGGACCTGGTGTCGACGCGACGCTCGTACTTCGAGGCGACTTGGATCTTCGGCTGTGAGAGAAAGAGAGAGCGACTCGGTTAATCTCGTTTCTTTCTCACTCTTCTATTTTTGTTTTCTCTCTGTTTGTTATGCGCGATTAAATAGAAATTACTTACGGGATATTTGCCAGTCAGAGCCTCGGGATCGAGACCCTTCTTCAAGGCTTTGTGCCTCAGCTGTTGCTTTTGACGTTCCTTCAGCTCTTTAAGCTGCGATAAAAATGCGATATTGATTTACCAATATAGTCCGAAAACGATGCGAACTATAATTAAACTCTTGTTCGAATAATCCGTATAGAAACGACCAACGTATTTCTCTTTTCTGCAGAGTTGCTTTTATTCAAAAGTATTATACTTTCTAAATTTCTTGGAGTGAAACCTCACTCTAAGCGATAATGAAAATACACTCAAAGTGGAGTGATATTTCACTTTTCACAAAAGTGAACATTCCATTCCACTCTCTCTCCATATGTGCCATTTAACTGATTCCATCTCACTCCAACTCGAACTTTTTGGCTGCCACTTCATTCTTCGGGTGGAGATTTCATTCAAGACATTTATAAAGTACGTGCGAAAGTAAATCTGATTTACCTATACAATTAGAAATTACGTAAAATCTTAAAGTAAATATCACTATAAGGCGATCTCAGTTTAAATATTAAACGCGATAGACTGGATTGCAAAGGTGAGAAGTTCGCGATACTCTGGACGATCACGTAAACTCACGTCATATTCCTGGCGCTTTTGCCGCTCCTCCAGATCGTACTTTTCAGTCTCGAGTTTAACTATGGCCTCCCATAATTCGGTCGCCTTGACGCGGAGTTTGTCGGCTGACAGACCCTCGATTTCTAGAGGTTTGATGCGGATGCTCAGGGAAATCCTCTTCTCTTCCTCGATCTGCTCCTTCGTCTTGCTACGGTCGATTTGCGCCGGTGTAAGATCACCCTGCGTTTTAGACGAACCCAGGTCAGTAAGAAAGATAAGAAGATAGCGGATATTAAGGTACTCCAACACTCACTTCTTCTTTCTTGGTGATGGTGAAGTTAGGGCCCTTCTTGGTCGCCTGGTCCTTCATCGATTGCAGCATGGCCTGCCGTTTCTTCTCCGACTCCTCCAGGCGCCTAACGACGCATAATGTGAGACACGAACAAAATCACCGCGAACTGAGAGCACTCGCAGACGAGACGCTTACCTTCTCTTCTCCTCGATGTCACGTTGTTTCTTCTCCTCTGCAAAGGGAACGGAAATTCAAACGTCTCGATCGAGTTACCTCAAGATTCGGAAAGAGAAAAAAAAAAAAGCGAGATGAGCGTATTCTTACCGAATTCACGTTGACGACGCTCCTCCTCTTCCTTCTTCTTCTGCGCCAATTTCTTCTCCTCCTCCGCGCGAGTGACCTTGCGCTTGGCTTGTTTCTCCTGAAAAGCAATATACTCTTCAAACAAGGTACGTAAGTAGCCACGAAATTGGAAGAGCAGTACAAATAACGAAAGATCCGCACCTTTAATCTCTTCAATTCCTCCTCCTCCTTGACTCTCTGCTTCCGCCATTCCGCTATGTACTCTCTTATCTGCTCGTCGAGATCACTTCTCTTCTGTTCTTGCCTCTGAATCATACGCGACGGATTTAGTCACGTGTGTGCGCGCAATCACATGAATTTTTAACTGACAGGCATTACGTATGCATGTATATGTATACCGGCGATACTCACCTTCATAAACTCGATATTCTCGCCGGATTCCCTGAAGCAGGTCGGAGCGAAAACAAAAGTAACTCTCTGTAAATCTCTTGCTGGTTAAGCACGTTCTCTGGCAAGATCTCGCGAAGAGAAGATCCCCCAGAACGCGAGATTCTCACGTCCATCTCCACTATTTTATTACAACTCCATCCATTCTCTCCCGTATAGCGCATATTATTCAATGTCGCTTGTCGCACGTATTCACACACAGACAACACATGGGCGGAACAGTCAGAACAGTATTATATAGATACACGGACGGACAAACAGAGTCAGAGAAAAATACAGCGGGACGAAGGGGGGACGGAGACGAGAAAAGAAAAAGTGAATAAGAGAGAAATGAAAGAGGGAGAGAAAAAGAAAAAAGGCAATCTAGTGGCAAATAATGTGCAAGCGTGTAAAAAAGAAGTAACCCAAGTGCTCGGATCATGGGGAGGCATTAAGAAGAGTAGCAAGGGCCGCGTCCCATAACTACTTCGGATGAGTTAATTGGTCGTGGTGAGGATCGTATGGATTCAGAAGCGGCCATAGGACAAACGCGTTCGAGCGTATAGAGAGAGAGAGAGAGAGCGGAAAGTGACAATTTCCCGAGCGTGTCTCGCGCCCGGACGAGCCTAAAACGTTGCGGCTCGCTCGGACGGAACTCGCAAGGCGGAACTTGATCGGCCGCCCGGAAGTTTGTGAAAAACTCGACTTCCGAGCTCCCTCCCGAACTGGAAATCGACTCGAAACGGAATTCACGGGAGCGCGAAAACTTCATTCCGAAAAAATAAGTCCTCTCGCGCGGGGGGTCGCGGCGGGCCTCGTAATTGAATCGTACCGAGATGTTCCTTTGGAATTTTTCGGCATCTCGGCTCCTGCGAGCCACGCTGGAGAGACACCATGTTAGAATGTAAGAACGGCTGACTAACGAGAGATCCACGTGGGTATTATACTCGCTCGTGATCAATTACGGCGCGGGGTAGACATAATTAATGAGGGGGGATCGGACATTAACGAGCACGGGGACGAAACATCACGCTGACGTAGCTCGTACATGACGTGATTATGTATGTACAACGCCGTCACTCTCGTTAATTCGTTATTAATCGGAGAGACAAAACGTGTAACACGCGAGGCCGGGTGCGAGAGGGATAAAGACACAGACACAGAGAGAGAGAGAGAGAGAGAGACAAAGAAAGAGCAACACGAGGGCTGAGGGTGTGGCTTTCAACATTGACAACGAACAATCAGATATCACCGACAGGACTGAGATCCGACGTTTCGACGGGATCGACGAAATTCGGAATATACGCCTAACGCGCGCACACAACGAGTGAGCATTAATTACGTACGATACCGGCCGGTGTTAACGGCCGATCATTAATCACATCGCATTGGCGTCGAAATACGGCAGAAACCGTCTCGGAATAAACGTTGCGTTGTCGCGATGAAATTGAGGAAATGTCTGGCGGCCGCCCAAACTATTCTTCCACCGGCATCGCGCATTAGCAATGTTGCGCAATCGCCATGGAATATTTACGAAGGTCCGCGACAAACGTGACCGGCGTCGCGTTTCAAGAGACGATCACGCTATCATTCATCGATGCGCCACAGGCCAACGATCGCGCGCGAGATCCATGTATTGTATCGGTAAACAAGATATAGGACGGAAATCGACTAACTCGAGAGACGGGCTAATTAACCGCGACGCGGAGAGAGATAGAGAGAGAGAGAGAGAGAGAGCACCGAATTAATTAATTAATCGTCTCCAGCGATCTCATTCCTGTCGCAATGCAAATCGGAGGGTCTGCTGGCCGATTTTACCAACGTCAATTAATTTCAACCGTAATCAGCTGAGACGCTCAGCTCTTCTCCGGTAATCCTCGACTTCTCTAATTCTCTAATTGCGGAGGAAGATACAGTGACCGGATTTATTGTCGTACATGTCCGGAAAATGTTCTCATATAATTATATGTATAAACATATTCTATATATGACGCCTTATGTTCAGGATGTTCCGGCATAAGGAGAACATTTAAATATCTAGGGAGTCTAAATATGGGGAAAAAAATCGAAAAAAATAACCATAACAAAATTTTCCTTTCATTGTGTTTTCCCTTTCCCAAAACCATTCAATTTGTGCTCCAAACATTTCTCATATTTTTAAAAATAATAAAGATATTTAAGTATTTTCCTTACGCCGGAACACCCGGTTTAATTATATTTAATTATATATGAAGAATTTTTTTTCTCGAGTATTTCTCGTTAAATATGCGTCCTCCTTTTTTCACCCGAGCTAAAAGAGCCCAGGCTCTCCAATGTTTGCTGTTAAATGTACGGTGAAAAGTTTGAATGACGGCGAGATCGACCGGATTGCCTTTTTGAAACGGGGTAGCTCGTGACACTGGGCTAATTTGTTTCATTATCTACTATTAATTCGAGGAGAGGAGGAGTCGTCCTTGCCGAGATTAAACGGGATTTAAATTTAATCGACGCCGGGGAAACCAACTCCGGTAGCGTGAGAGCGGCCGAATAACAAGAGGGAAGGTGTATTATTGACGTGTAAACCACCTCTCGGGTATAATCAACTTACTTTTGGGACGCTCTGCCCCTATAAAAAAGAGAAAGCACAGATTCATTAATATTTGAATGGTTCACGATCGGTCGTAGGACTGCGCAAAGCCGCGCTTAAATTACGATCGGTATCGCTCGTCTCCGGCTTTCGCGCGAATATCCGATCTCGGCCGCGCGTCCGTGCGCGCTTGACGATCGCTCTGCGCGACGATTGTTCGGCAATTAATGCGATCGTAAGTAACATTGCTTGTTCGTGCAATCAAGCGGATCATCAAGTTATTTTTCTTCAACGGAGGAGGAGGATCGCGTTGAAGACGCTTTCACGCAGCGCTTTGCAAAAGCGCTTGGTCGCCCAGTTGACGATATGACAGAGAGAGGCTGATTAGGCGGCAGACATAATGAACAGACACGACAAAGATGACGGCAGAGAGGTGACAGAGTGCGGATGTGGAATGTGTACTCTCGTGTGTGTGTGTGTGTGTGTGTTTGCGATCGACGATGACTCGTGTCGAAGTAGAACAGAGTCGGATGTTCCTGTGACCCCAACGTCCCCGAGTGTGTATATCTCGTGGGTTTTGCACGTGAGATGTTTTGTATTGCACATATATGTGTGCAATACACACACGTGTATTGTACGTGTGTGTTTACACGTGTACGTATCGCCTGTACATAGAGAAGCGGTACGGAATAGCGTTCGTGTGTTGTTCCTTCGCGTAACCATTGACGCAAAACAGCGTGACACAGCGTCAAAAAGACGTGTCAAAGAGGCAGCGAATACACCGGCGGCAAAGTGTATTATACCTCTCGAAAAGTTAAAAGGCAGTGGCGAGCACATCGACATCGGATGAAACTCGATTAGCTCGATGCGACAGAGCTCTTACCCTCTTCTTCGTTAAGAATTTAAGATAATTCAGTTTCAAAGTCGGCAGTAACGAATTTACAGTAATTCCCTTGGGTCCCTGAGAAAAGAGAGAGAGAGAGAGAGAGAGAAAACGAGGCGGGTTAGAACACTGTTGCACAGAACGCTCCGATTGAGCGCTACGCGCTGCTTTTTTTCCCTTCTCTTGTGCTGCGCCTTCACGAGAGAAGTGAAAACGGGCAAAACTTCGTAGCGAAACTATGGAACATCAATTTCCCCAGGAAGACATTCTGTCGGTATCCATGGGAACAGGCGGGAGGAATGGGATTATGAAAAAAAAAAAAAAATAAGACAAGAGAGAAAATAAGAGATATACAGGAAAAGAGAGGAAGGAGGGCACGTACGGAAAAACAGAGCCAGCCAGCAAGTGTATCGCTACAAAAAAGTACGTCTATGCGAGAGTAAACGACTGCGGCAGCACAACGCGCGTGAGAGATGAGAGAAAAAAGTAGAAGAGAAAGAGAGAGAGAGAGAGAGAGAGTATATATGAGAACAGAGAGTAACGGACGACGAACAATTATATAAAAAGACTACCACAAGACAAGACAGCGGTTAGACACCGAAGAGAAAGAAAGTAGGAGAGAGAGATAGTAAATATATACGACACTGACGACAATATACGTGAACGTACACGAATTATTGGCCGCAAAAAAGACACGTTTATACTTGTCGTATGCAAAACTTACTCGGTCTTCTTCTCCGGCTGCCTTTGATTTTGCGATTTTTTGTTTCGTACCGCGCGGGTCGATTAGCCGATCGATCGATGACGAGTAGTGGTGGTGGTGGTGGTGGTGATTGGTTTGATTGATTGATTGATTGGTTGGTTGGTTTTGTGTGTTGTATGTGGAGATATACATAGACAGAGAGAGAAAGAGAGAGAGAAAGAGAGAGAGAGAGAGAGAGAGAAAGAAAGAGAGGGAATGAATAAACATAAAAAGAAAAAGACGGAGATCATAAATCACAGTCAGAAGAAACATCTGGTGTATACAGTGCATACGAGCGCGAGAATTATTCCGCGAAAAACGATCCCGAAAAGCTCTTTTCGATCTGATTGAACCCGACTTGCCCGTGATTTTAGCTGTAAATTTCTCGCCCGATAAAATACAGAAAGAAAGAGAAACAGAATCGACCAACGCGATAAACGGCGCATTCTTCCCCCGAAGAGAATGAGATCTGTAACGAGTTTCTATTTTCGCAGGGAAGGAAAACAAACAACGGGTGTGCTGTCAGCGCTAAATTTAATCTTTCGGCTAAATTTAATCTTTCGGCTGCGTGTAATCTTTCGGCTACGTGTAATCTTTCAGCTGGAAATGAGACTTGAGCAATCTATCCTTTCGGACGAGAACTTATCGAGAGAGACTTTAACTGAAACAGATCGACGCGCATTGGTAGTGGTTGCGGCCATATAACGAGTCTCGGGAAACTTACTTCCTGAAATGAGAAAAGGAAAGGCCGTACGTTAGACAAGTAACCGGGAATGAATGACATTAAGGCAATTCAATAAGGCGATCGAAGGTAAACACTTACACTTCCTCGACCTCCTCCTCGCTGCTGCAAAAGAGAAAACGGAAAAGAATTTAGTTAGTCGGGGCGGAAACGGTAAGGGGCTGATCGCTTAAACGAGTAACAAAAGTGGCACGGTGGTCTTTCAGAAGCCGCTCTTGGGGGAAACTTAAGGCTCTCAGTGCTCTCTTCGAAGCGCTTTTCCGTCTCGCGTGATTTCATTCCCGCGAGTATCATCATTACGTACTTTGTCCTGTTACTTCGTCCAATTGCTTTTCGAGAACTGTAACTTCGACTCGAGCACTGACGCAATCAGGTCGTTATGCGTGAGAGGGGGAGGCACGGAAAGGGGAGACAAATGGAGGTAATATCCGTTAGATAAGAGTGTAGAATAGCTCGTTAGAACACGAAGCTGCGGATCGTGGGCACTGTTGAACCTTACGTGGGCGATATTTTCTCGGACACGCGGTTTACATAGAGCGACAACGAGTATCACCGCGATCTTGCCTATCGCCGATCGCACTTTCGTAGAGACCTGACTTCGCAGAGGTCTGCACTGTGAAACACCTGGACCATTCTCTCGCGTTTCCATTCGCTATTAGAAATCTACCTCGGAGAGCAGCGATATCACATCGAAAATATTAGTCAGCCGTCTGTCATCCCCGAAAATCATGCAAGCCCATTTTCCCCAAGCTTCCCTAAGATCTCGTTAAGATCTGCGAGATCTGCGGTCTCATGTTGCGAGAACGCGTTTCATTGAAATTCGAGGGGTTCTAAAATCGGACTTGCATCAGATTCAAGGTAAGCGGCTTGCAACTCAAAAGGGATTAATAAGTTGCCGCCGAGCTACTTACGAGTATTGCTCCTCGTCGTCAGACATGTTGGCGGTTGCTTAAAAGGCTGCAACAAACGGAAAAACGAAACTTTTTAATCGAGTCGAGTTAGCAAAGTAAGCGACAGAGAAGGATTAAGATTCGCAAAGGGAACCAGTTCGGATCGAGCTTTTTAAGCGAGAGATCTCGCCTTTTGACAAAAGTTACAGCACGTCGTAGAGAAAAAACATATCATCGCATCATAAATTACGTTATCATGAAGCGCATTGCAAGATTTCTGCGAAAAAAGAGGAAGCTCTTATTTCGAATATACATTGTTAATCATATACCACCAAAATTGGAGGTACATACGTTGAAATAAAAGTCCTACGTAATTATAAAAGACATTTCAAGGTATGTACTTCGTATGTACCTCCAACTTTGACGATATATAACAGTGTACGTCTCCTCGTCTACTCAACACACCACTGCACCTTTTACGACTTAATCGCGAGTGCTTACGAGAACCACCCCGATCGACACCACGCGTCACGCTCTACCTCTTATCGCTCACGTCGCTCATTAGTGACATAACAAATCTAAATAAAAAAAAAAAAAGAAACAACGAACGTACATTTACCGACGTGGAAGGAGTGAGAAACCGAAATCCCTCGGATTATGACTCACATTGCAAGATGAAGGTCGGGAGAATCGATTGAGGAACGGCAGAGGAGAGAAGAGCGACAGAGAGAGNGGGGGGGGGGGGGAGTACACAAATGTACAAAAAAGCTCGCGTCGTCGGAGCTCTCTCGCGAAGATCGGGCGAAGAAGCGAGAAGAAGAAGAAATTGAAGTTGAATATACCGGATGGCCGATGATCTCACAGTAATCCGATATCCCGGAGGCGAGGGAGGAAGAGAGTGGAAAACAGCAGTTTGCTAACCCTGGCCGCAAGTTCGGCACCGCAAGCTCTATAAGGAGCCCGTCCCCTTCTCTTCCTCGTCGCTCTAATTTTAGAGGGGACGGCACGCTCGAACACCTACCGCCTCCATCTTTCCGCTTTCCTCTTTCTCCAGCCGTTTCTCGCGTACGGCCTTAGCCACCCTTCGACGAGCTGCGACATTCGTAATACTAGACGATGACCGAGAAACACTTCGGGTACGCTCCAAATTCTCCGGATCGTTCGGAGAGCTCAGGAGACGTCGTAAAGACGTTTAAAGGACACTCTGATCCTGCGGATGCCAATTGGACGTCTTTCAATTGGACGCGCTTGCGTTCCGCTCAAATTTTATTTCCACGGCGACAATCGCGAGACTTTCACCGTCGCTAGCTCGTCTAATTATCGTAGAAGACAAATTGACATTTCTCCTTTAAGCGAAATCACTTCATTCGGCGTTGCAAGTTCTGTGTAACTTGATAAAACGAGACCTCGCTTATCGTTACCTTCTCCTGCCTCTCGCGGAATGATCTTTCGTTATCGTCGCGTTTATATGACAAGCGTATTTTGCGGCTTTTTTTTCTTTTTTTATCAATGAGCTCAAGTACAAAAGCTTTCACTCGCGCGATTTTCTAATCTACACCAAGGACCAGCACTGCACCGTCGCCGGTGGCGAGTCGCCGGCCTTCTCTAGCGACAAGTAGATACGTCCGCGCTACAGTCAGACACTGTCAGACTTTTGCACTGATCGAGCCCTACCGATTCGGGGGAGATATCGCGCGCACTTTTCATCCCTCAAGCAACACTTTATACTTTTTAAAAACAACATATATATATATATATTTTTTTTTTTTTTTTTAATGATCTCTAATGTACCGCTCTTAGCTCCGGAGCATCTTTCTTAGCAAGCAGCTCTCGGGGGTGGGTCGAACAATAGTCGACGAACTTTCTCGCTTTTCCCCCCGCCTTTCTTTCATCGTCTTTTTTCCGTTCTAATTTATTCTTAAAAAGTAAATAAATTATGCAATTAACCCCCGAGGTCGCGATAGAATATCCGCGCGTCCGCCAGCTCTTAGTTTTTTTCCCGGAGTCCGCTCCCTGGAGTAAAAAACAGCGAGAGTTTCAACCATCGTACTCATCGAGCGGGCGGCTCGATTCACACCGAGCGGTCGTCACACACGGGTCGCGGACGGGAACAACGCAAACACAACGACGATTCGAATCACGAGCGAGTCCTCGGGAGCGAGGAAACCTCCGAGCGAGCGAGTGAAGAATAAGAGAGAAAGAAAAGAGAAGAGAAGACAGGCAGAGAGAGAGAGAGAGTGAGAGACAATCAACGAGCACAGAATGAGATGAATATTGAACTTACACTCGGGTGGTGTCAATACAAGCGTATTGTGCGTGTGGGCCTGTGTGTATAATCGTGTGGGTGTGTGTGGACGGGCGGGCGCGTTCGGGGGTGCCAGCCGGTGAGAGGGTTACTTCTCTCAGAGAGGGACACGCACAGGAGGAGCTCGACCCCGTGGAATGTGGAGTCCGCGACAACCTGAGCCGCTCTGAGGTCCGACGAAAAGCCGCGACTGGACATCGGCGGCTCCGGCCGCCTCCTCCGCGTTACTCGCTGTAACGCCCGCGCTGCTCTCTCTCTCTCTCTCTCTTCCTCCCTCTTTCTTTCATCCCTCGGCTATTAATAGAGCGGAGATCCGCGTATCCGCCGCGGGCCACCGGAGAACGATACGATCCTGACTGCTACTATTTTCGTGTCTTTTCTTAACACGCGGGCTTTTCTACGGGGGGCCTCTCTCCGGTCCGACGGTGCTCCAAATGTAGGCCCGTCGCGCGACCGAGAGGCTTTATCGCGGTGACAACCGGCGAGATTGATTCGTGACCGCGTCGACGTCCACCTTAGCGTGGTGTATCTCGCCCTGCCGGAAGAACTTTTCTTCCTGTCACTATATTGACAGACATTTGCTGTTCCAGCAAAATTTGTTTTCATGCGACGTTCACAACTATCTTCATTTTCTCGAAGCTTGAAGAGCCTGAGAACAAAATGATATCTTGGTATCGGTGCTTTCCCTTTAGCATTACACGAGGTGAGAACGAATGCATCGCCGAAAAACAAGCGTCGCCGCAAGCCAGGACAGGGTCTCGGTTTTCTCAGCGACGAAATAAGAGCCGCAATGAAGAAACGCGTGGGAGCCGGCGAAAAGGACCTTGGCGAAGGGTGTGCGGAGGCGTGGGGATCACCCACGTTGTCGGCCACCTTATCAGAGCGCCCTAAAGCTGGAGGCTCTAATCTCGAAGCTGCGCGCCGACTATGTCGAATCGCGAGGTACCTCCTTATATGGCGGGAGACATGTGTGGGAGGCCAGGAGACCGCGACGTTGCGGTATAAAGTTGCCTTCGCGAATGCGATCTCGCAGCGGATCCGGGCAGAGTCGTCTTCGGCCACCTTGAAGATATAAACGCGGGAGAGGATCCGCGCGCGATTTACAATTTTATCGGAGATGCCGCACGCGCCGCGATACGTTTCTGTTCTTCGATTCGACAATGGCTTTTGTGAAGAGCGTTTTTTTTCTGTGGTAACAGTTACGTCACGAGTTTCGCGCAGATTCCGCTAAACAGTGCTCGGCATAGTGTTGGCACAACAAGAGAAGAGATAGTGCATATAAATAGGAGCATAAGAGTATAAAAGTTATTAATACGTAGAAGAAAATTGAACGTTACAGATTTCTTGAGCGTACGATGTCTTATTGATATATTGGTGAAAATTAAAAAAAAAAAAAGAACGCTTTTTTCTAACTGAAAATTGACAAATTTTCAAAAACTGCAATTTTGTGAAAAAATAAAGCAGAGTAATTTTTTGTAAACTTTTTAAAGGACAGAATCTCTCTTTTAAGATGTCTTTTCAGAAGTTCGATAATTTTATTTTATTATAAAACTTGTGCCTTGTCAAATGAAAGAATGTTCCATTCCTCAAAAATGGTCATCCTTGACGCACTTTGTCAAGTTAAAAGAAAGTTTTCGCTAAATTCATTAAAATTATAAAAAAATATAAGATTTTGGTTGAAAATGTTTTTGTTTAAATTTGTCTACGATATTTTGCTCCAAATTACACGATTTCAAAGTCAACTGTACATTTTGACAAAAATGTAGAGTGTCGTCTTTCATATTAGAAGGTGTAAGCTTTGTCGGGGAATTAAATTTTCGAAAAAGTGACGCTTTGTTCAACAAAGCTCTTATAAATTATTCTATGCTATTTCTTAACAAAGTTATAACAGTTTAAAATTTGACATATTTTGACGGGAAGAAACATTTCTCACTTTAACTTGAGCAATGTATTATTCATGGTAAATTAAAGAATAAAAATATCGAAATAATTAATAATTGCTTTAGCTAGGAATAGACAATGTTGAAAAAAAAATTTTTATATTCAGTAATAGATTTTTTTCTATTTCAACAACAGATTGAAACCAAATTCAACCTATTACTTAATGTATTATTAAAGAACAATCTATTATTTAATCATACGATTAAAGAATAAAAGTTCGTCAATATAATTCGTTTTAATCATATTATCTAAAAATAAATTTTATGCGCCCTGCTGTTCAGACATACTATTTAAAAATAAAATCTTTGGCCTGTCTGTTACAGATATCTTTCTTGTGCAAATCGTATTAATTGAAAATAAAAATCGGCTAATCTTTTATTGAATCATATTACTTAAAGACTTAAATCTGCCTGACTATCATTGAGTTGTGTTACAACCTAAATTCTTCGTTAAAAACAGTGGCGGCTCGTAGCGGAGACTTTGGAACTACAATTTCGTATAATAACCAGTTCGCGCTGACGACTATTAACGGGTTAACTGGCGCCATCTAGCGATGTCTAGCAATATTTTCTTGTAAAAAAATCGGTAGGCAAAAGCATTTTGGTTGAGTAAAGGTTTGAATCTCGGCAAAATATCATTCGAATCTTGGCAGATGTAATAAATTAGCTCAAACAATTAGTTAAAAAGATTGAGCGATTTTTTCATTTTTAAACAACGCAGCTAAACGATGGTCAGAGGAACATTTTATTTTCACATAATACTCGGTTGCAAATCAAATAGGATATTTATTTTATATTAGTATGGCCTCTTTGTTTCAAAATATTAGGTACAATAGGTTTCTTGAACGGTCTGTCTTTTCCTCCAAACCTTAGTTGTCCCGATTCCTTCTTGCCACCAAAGCCACCTCCTGAAAAATTAAATAAATATCATAGGACACTTGGTACAAGCAGATTACGCATGCACAATTACTTAATTACGAGGGCGGTCAATTAGTACCCGTGTTAGAAATAAAGACACTATTTTTTCAAAAAATTTTTTTTTATTTTTCAACATAGTCCCCTTTTAGAAAGATACACTTCTCCCAACGTTCCTGCCATTTTTTTAACCCCTCCAAAAAATAGGATTTGTCGAACTCTCCAAAATACGCCTCTGTCTCGGCGATGACTTCCTCGTTTGAGCTAAATTTTTTTCCCGCGAGCCATTTCTTCATGTTAGGGAACAAGAAAAAGTCGCAGGGAGCCAGATCGGGTGAATACGGGGGGTGCGGCAGCAATTCATAACGCAATTCATGCAGTTTGGCGGCGACAACTCCGGATGAATGTGCTGGTGCGTTATCGTGGTGAAACAGCACCTTCTTTTTCGCCAAATGCGGCCGTGTCTCCTTCAATTTTTTGTCGAAGCGGTCCAATAACTCACTGTAGTATTGTTCAGTGATCGTTCTTCCTTTTTCTAAAAAATCCATGAGGATGACGCCGTTCGCATCCCAAAAAATCGTCGCCATGACCTTTCCGGCCGATGGGACCGTCTTCGCCTTCTTTGGAGCAGATTCACCGGGAGAAACCCATTGTTTTAATTGTTGCTTAGTTTCTGGTGTGTAATGATGAATCCAGGTTTCATCAACGGTGACAACTCGACGCAAAAACTCCTTCGGACCTCGCTTAAATTGCTCCAAACACTGCTTCGAAGTTAACAGCCGCATCCGCTTGTTGTCCACCGTGAGCAATCGCGGCACCCATCGGGCCGACAATTTTTTCATCGCCAACTTATCATGTAAAATATTAATTGCCGTTCCGGTCGACATACCTACGGCCTTTGCTACTTCGCGCACTTTCGTTCGTCGATCAGCGAGAATCATGTCGTGGACTTTTTGAATGATTTCCTCGGTAACCACGCCTGCTGGGCGTCCTGGTCGCTCCTCATCAAAAACGGATGTTCGCCCACGTTTAAATTCGTTGAACCAATATCTAACTGTGGTCATAGATGGTGAAGTGTCTCCATAAACAGCATCCAACTTTGCTTTTATCTCCTCGCATTTTTTCCCATCCAAAATCAAAAAGCGAATTACCGAACGATATTGCTCTTTTTCCATCTTAGCGAAAATCACGAAACACGTCTTACTCGAATGGCGGCCAAATCCAAACTAACCTATCAATCAGTCTGCAATTTGTTTTGCCGTCGTTTGATAGATGATAGCACACGATGATAACACCAACTTCCCTCAGGAACGCCCTCTATCGTCTAACACGGGTACTTATTGAACCGCCTTCGTACATACCAAGCCTCCTTGGTTTCCAACCCTTCATGGTGCGACCACATTCACGGTCAATAAATACTTTATATCCCCTTAATGTAGCATCTGTGGCTCGCCTCAACACCCTTTTGACATCCTCTTCGCTTCTCATTTCCACAAAACCATAGCCTTGAGAGAGTCCTGTCACCACATCTACTATGACTTTTGCTGAAATGACGTCTCCATACCTCTTAAAAAACTAAATAACAATTGCAAGTATTGAGTACCTCAATGTATTAACAAATGGACTACATAAGAGATATAATATCATAAATATGAAATATGTTATTTTGTCAAACTGATAGTACTTCTTTCAGATCATCCTTTGTGATCTTGGGACCAAACCTGGCTACAAATAGAGTCCTTTCTGCTTTAGATTCCAAATTACGTGGAGGTTCGTAGCGCATCATCATCGCTCTACTAACGGCTCTATCATGAGGCTCTGTATCTGTTCCATCAATACTGCCTGCCTTTAAGGGATCATATATTCTGGAATAAGGGCTCCATTTCTGCAATATGTCCTCATCCTGAAGTAAAATACAATAGTTTACCACATAAACATCATCTTATTTTTTGTGTATACACTTATAATTTAATATTAATCTTGTTGGATGAAAAAAAATCAATCCGTGGTGTTCACACTCACCATGTCAGCTATAGATTCGTAAAAGTAAAAACAATTCAACAGAGGGAAGTGTTTCGTTGGTGATCGTACATGTAAGATCAGTCAAATCAGCTGAAATAAAAATAGGAACTGTCAAAGAGCGTAGCGCCTTCTGGCGTCGTTAATTTTAACTATTACTGCAACGATGCAAGATTCTGGGAAATTCAAAACTTCCCCTGACATTCCTTTCAAAAAAGAAAAGGAGGAAGAAAAATAGATATCCATTTTAAAGAAAGAAGGAATTTGATTGAATTAGATGACAAATTAATATTTTTACAAACACGCAGATAAGATATCCTTTACCATTATTATTTAATTAATTCGTTTATTAAATAAAGAGTATTGAATATATATATGCCGTAGCTACTTTGTAAATTATATTCACCATGGACGCAATCCTACTTTGCGCAAATAGTATGAGACAAATGAAGCGACTTGTGAAGATGTTTATAGACAAATGGAAAGAAACGTAACTAAATTTAAATAATAATACAATTCATATTCGCTCGTTCGTTTCACTCTCCTTTGTGTTATTACAGAATACTTGATTCATCCGGATAAACAAACCTGCGCAAATAGATTCTGAGCTGAGTCCGTTACAAGTTTTTGAAAGGCGGCAAATCCAACGCAAAATCTACTCTAGGTCAGATAGATTAAGTTTCTTATTTATCAAATATAAATAGAAACAAAAGTTTACTTTAGTCTTGCTACTAAAGAATAAAACATTCTTTAAACCGCACTGCCAAACCCCACCGTTAAATTTATCGGTGAAAAAAAAATGGCGACTCACAGCGGAGACTTTGAAGCTATTAACCGATCTTCTTTAGACACCAACAGATGGCGTCAGATAACCATTAATTGCACAATTTTTCCTCACAAAACTGGAGTTAGATGGAGCCAAGTTGCCCCAGTTTAGTCCTATTGGTTATTTTATTAATTTTATAATTAACACAAATTCAAGTGAGATGATCGTTTTATTTTCCAATCATGTTTTATTCCCTGTTTCGTAATAAAAAGAAAGTAATTCTTTCTACTAATAAATTATATTTCGTAAAATATATCGAGAGAGAGAGAGAGTGAGAGAGATCTCTATCGATTGAACATCACTCATTTCTGCTTTGGTACGACGTACCATTAGATGGCAGCATCATAGTGTTCGCCGTTCACACGAAACTCTATTTGCATTGATATGCATTTCAATTCGTGAATAGCTTTCCGGTGTTGCGTACGTTCCTTGTAGTATTTGTCATCACGGTCGTTGCCGCATCATAATCTGTCATTCTTATTGTTATCGGCCTCAGATACGCGACAAAATTCGCTAAATCAGTCAGAGAGCATTAATTTAGGTCCACATAAACGATCGTCCCGAGAATAAATCGACGAAAGGCACTGCCACATCCTTATAGATCCAGTTTATCATTTCAATATCAACACCCATTAATGGAACCGCAGTTATTCGTAGAATAATGTATTCACAATTATCACGTTCGTAGGCACTTTCGTTCGATACACGAAGTAGTATTTTTCATGTGTCATCGATCGAACATGTCTTTGTTGTTCTCGCGACGAATTTGTGATAAGAAAGTGGCTGGCTCTAATTTCAGTTTTACACACTTCCCGAGTTTTCAGGTATGTTAATCTCGGTCTTAAGGTCAGATGCATTCGAAATATGTCGCTATTCCATATTTACACGCAATGTGAAACAATAGTGTTTCCTCAAATAATAATAATTTTCAATTATCAGCTTTGTAGATAATATACACGAGTGTAAAAGTGTAATTTGCATCTGTTGGAAATGATTTAAATCGATTTACAAATGGACAAGTAATATCCTTTTGTGTGTGTGAGCTGATTAGTGTACTACTTTGTGTATGTGTTATATCCTTTTCTGGTAAATTTATTATGCTATCATCATGACGTCTACAATATCACTAACTGATAAACAGCTTCATCAATTGGTAAGTCAAGAGATACAGTGTTATCTGTTTTATATTTATTTTATATCCTGAATAAACATTGAATATGTTATTTACAGAGTATCAGTATCGGGAAAGCTGTAAATGCTACAGAAACTCCTGTGAAAGAAAAACATGTGCGAAGTATCCTTTCTTATTTTATATCATGTTCTTTAATGTAACTATATAACAATTATATTTATTAGACATTTATATCACGATCAAGAAACAGTTCCTTATAAGTAAATAGGTGCAATTATTGGCACATATCGGGAGAAAAGTGGATCCATTTTTTGGACGTACATGTTGAGACAGCCATTACAGGAGAATCAGATTGTTGCATGGAAATTTTGTCATGTTCTGCATAAAGTATTGCGGGAAGGACACCCTAGGGTTATCGTTGACTCTCAACGATACCGTGGTAAATTAGAGGATATTGGTAAACTCTGGCAACATCTTCGAGAGGGCTATGGTCGTCTTATACAGCTATACACACGACTGTTAATTACTAAATTAGATTATCACAAACGAAACCCACGCTTACCTGGAAATTTACAAGTAACGTCAGAAGAATTAGAAGCAATTGGAGAAAATGATATCAATGTGTAGTAAGTTGTATCTTTCTCACTGTTGATCCTCTCCATAAAAAAATATATATATATTTACATATAAGCTATTATGTTCCATTCTTTCTCCTTAGCTTCCAAATGTCTGTTGAAATGTTCGATTACATGGATGACATCTTGAATTTGCAACATGCGGGTAAGTTGAGACTGATTGAATAATATACCACAAATTGTTCATCGCGCAAATATAAATATTCTTTCTCCGTAAGTATAAACGCGCGGTTTCATTTGTATAAAATTGCAGTGTTTGGTTCTCTGGACCTGTCACGGTCCAATTCGATGACACCCTGTGGTCAGTGTCGACTCGCACCTCTAATCCCATGCATTCAGGACGCTTCCCAACTCTACGATTATTGCGTGAAAATTTTGTTCAAGCTTCACGGTGCACTGCCGGCAGACACGCTAACCGGACACCGTGATAGATTCTCAAAACAATTTCACGAGCTGAAGAGCTTCTACAACACTATCAAACACATGCAGTATTTCAAACATTTGATAACAATACCTTCGTTACCCGAGGTAACATATCGATAATCGATTATTGATGCGTTAGCAACTATTGTATATCGTTCTTTCCGCATATAATATATTCTCCAGAATCCACCAAACTTTTTAATACAAGCCGAACTGAGAACGTACGTTACTCCGATAGTGGTACTTCCGCCTGAAGAGTCTTTGGATAATGAGGCTGTCATAGAAAGCCTTATTGACACGTCCGATGCGGGATCGTTGACCGGCGATCAGATAGATTCCGCACGAAACGGCGCGATATCACCCGATGCCCTTGCAGAAAGGTATAGGATTCATGTATTTATCTTATCTAGCTTTCTCTTGCCTTGATATAAGCTGGACAGCGGATATAAGATAACATGGTTTGCAAAACAGCCAAGTGTTTTGCCACAATCTAAACCTGTTGCTCGTAATAATGTTGCTTTTGATTGTGTTTGTTTAGTGATATTTAAAAGTGGAGTGTGCCAATAGTACTCTTTGTAATTTCGCCCAATCGGTTCTTTTTTTTTTTCTTCCATATTTTTTAGAATCTTTCAGAGAATTATGTACGTATATATTTTCTTCACACACATTTGATTTTCCAAATAATATATATGTATAATTTTTTTTAATTTTTTCTCTGAAAAATAATGAACTTTAGGCATTTTTTTTTTTTAATAAATGCAACTTTTTTCAGGGACAGTCTTATTGATCATTTGTATCAAGAAAATGGCCGCCAAAGACAAGAACTACATCGCTTACTGATGGAACATCAACAGATAATTGCAGAGTATAGAAATCGCGTTTTAGAACTGGAATCGACTCTTTCTACCAAAGTACGTTTACTACTATACTATAGTTTTGATGATTTGAATCTATTTTATTGACCTGTGTTATATATCACGTAAATATTTTAGAGTAATGAAATTGTGGTGGAAAAACAAACATGTCAAGAGCTAATGAAAGAGAAGAAGAATATTTTGGAAAAGTTACAAGAAATTGAAGGTGAGTGAAAGGATAATTTGTTTTGATTTATTAAACCTTACACGTGCGGCAAATTGTTTTAAGGAAAAAACGAAATCTTGGAGGAAAAGTTCAAAAAACTCAAGGATGTTTACTCGAAATTGAGGGAAGAACATATCGGTTTGATCAGAAAGGTATGTCTCTTTGATATCGATTGATCGATACTGAAAAGATATTATCTGTCGCTTCTTCATTTATGACATCATTGATTATTATACGAAAGAAAGCTGAATTAGACAAAGAACTGGGAGGAATAAAGATATTAGTGGAGCAATCCGAACGTCGATCGTTGAAAGCCGAAGAGCGACTGCAAGAGCTGCTTCAAGGACAAACCTCGGCGGAACAAGAAGCGCAGAGGGTAACGCAGGCGCGCCAAGATTTGGACGACGTGAGAAAAAAGCTCGACAGCGTCCAGACGGAAAATTTAGTGAGTAAAAATGATTCTCAGAGGTGTATACCCAGTCGTGAGCAAACACTCAGCAGAAAATCACGCGTCTATCACAGGCATTAGCAGCGAAGATAGATTTTATCACGTCTGAGAAAACTGCTCTGGAAGGAGATCTCCATGATTTGCTGGTGCAAAAGGAAGAATTGGATCAACGAATGGCGAATTTGGAAGCTGACGCCGAACGATCGTGCAATCAAGTGAAAACGGACGCCAGCACAGCCTTGTTCGATCTGTTACGTGAGTAACAACGTTATTTAATCCGCTCTCGAAAGTTATTCGCGTTGGTTACGGCAGGAAGTTATTTGTTTCAGTGAATGCTATCTCGGAAGCGGAATTCATCTTGCATCACGCGATGAATGCAATCGATAGCCCGGCGATATCGGCGTTAACTTGTACGCCCGATTATCTCGGTGGTTCGCTGGAGCCAACGGAAAAATCCTTGAATGATTTGGAGGAAGCGTATAAGAATTATATATCTGATACAACGAAGGGAAAAGGACTGATCCGCGCCGCTATACACGGTGCACACCTCTTGGCTCTCTATTTGATATACGCGAAATCTACTTCGAACACATCGACGGACATTGGTTTGGCCGATAGTAAGTCTTTCTATCGAAACGCCGTTTTAACAATGACTTGCGAATATCTTGTTGAATTGAATTCTCTTTTCGTAAAATCTGTCGTGCGTTTTGTAGGATTTGCCGATGAATGTAAGCAATTAGGCTCGCAAGGATTAATTATGCTGAGTTATATAAAGGAGAGATCATCGATGACCGTGGTGCAAATCGACAATGTCAAGATTCAATTGCAAAAGATTTCGTCTTTAATAAGTACATTGTCCACCACGCAGAACAATGTGGAGATCATTGGCTCCTTGGTGGAGAACGAGTTGCTGAGTATGGATAAAGCCATAGAGGAGGCGGTTACAAGAATACAGGTGCTTGATTTAAGCTCATTATCTTGCAAGAAAGTTCTCGTGGAGATAAAGGGACAACAACGAATTATTTTCAACAGGATATGCTAGATAAGTCACGTGCGGCAGACTCTGGTTTGAAATTGAAAGTAAACGAGCAAATTCTCGATTCTTGTACGGAACTGATGAAATATATAAAGAAACTAGTACAAAAGTCTCGCCTGCTGCAGAGGGAAATTGTGGAGCAAGGAAAGGTAAAACGGCAAATTTGCATATTAGATAACTCTCGCGAGATTATATTTTTTATCAAAAGAATTATCAATCGTCTGTTCACACAGGGAACCGCTTCAGCCACTGAATTTTACAAGCGCAATCATCAGTGGTCCGAGGGCCTTATTTCAGCGGCAAAAGCGATCGCTATGGGCGCGAACTTCTTATTGTGAGTCTAACAAAGTACTAGAGTGACGTGTTAGCTTTTCCCGATATGTTTTTACACATACATTTATGTACAGAGAAGCGGCAGATAAAGTTGTATCGGGCAATGGTAAATTCGAGCAATTGGTCGTTGCCTCTCAAGGGATCGCAGCGTCTACCGCACAGTTGGTGGTGGCTAGTAGAGTGAAAGCTGAGAGGAACAGTAACAACTTGACCGAACTCTCCAAAGCGTCGAGAGAAGTGACTCAAGCTACGGCGAATGTTGTTGCTACCGCTAAAAGTTGCAATCATCTTGTCGAGGAGAGTGGTACGTATTTTCGAAATTTGCTTTAGTGTCTTCGTTTAGCGAATGATATTATTGTTATTTGATTACGCAGAAGACCTAGATATGTCTAGTCTGAGCTTGCATCAGGCTAAAAGATTAGAGATGGAGGCGCAGGTGCGAATCTTAGAATTGGAACAAGCTTTAGGAACCGAGAGACTACGTTTAGCTGCTCTTCGGCGTTATCATTATCAACTCGATGGTGAGAGCGAAGGATAAGCGAGCATGGATTTGAATTTCAATTAAAGATATTCGATAATTACAGAAAAATTCTATGTAGATACAGAATTATAGCGTTTATGTAAATTAGTGTGCTAAACTAACCCGTCGTAGAAATTGGTCGTGAAAGAGAGAGAGAGAGAGAGAAGCGAAATTCGTTACTCGTTTATGCGTGCGTCTTGAAGATCAAGAATAATTTTGCATTGTATCTACAGAAATCCATGAAATAGGTGTACTTTATTACCTCGAATAATGCTCGAATATGCATATTCACTGGTCACATATCAAAAAAATGATACATACACACATATATATATATATATTATGCCGTTTTCAATCTAGTTACGCTCGATATAGAGAATGTTTTCTCTATGTCATTCGTTATTTATTGTATCGCCGAGCATTGATAAGATGAGGTACATTTTGTAAGAAGTTTAATGAGCAGCGAAATCCAAAATGTGAGTTTTTATTACATTTACAATTTTACGAGATCGTGTTTTTTCCTAAAGGGTCCATGTGGGGCCTCCTTGTGCAAAGGATCGAGCGACCAATGTCTGAAAAAACTACTAACTTCTTAGATGTACGAACTGCATTTCTCCTACAGATGGATAATTTGTAATAACTAATTTAGAGAGATTAATTTAGGAAGCACAACATTTTGACTACGTTTTCTCAGCGAAAAGATGCAAAATTTCTTAATAAGGTACGTATAAGATTGGGTTGAACGTACAGGCTCAACATACGAGACTCTCTTGTAACAGTCTTACCAAAGTTATAAGTTTTATAAACGCAGTTTTTCTCAATAAATCGTCGAGAATCATTCGGTGTGTCGCTGATTTTTGCGTAAGAAATCGCAATACTTGACCGGTTAACCGAACATGATGTTCCCCTTCCCAAATGCATGTGGATCAATATGCTTCTGGCCTTGGTATTTTATTGTATCCGATGCGTTTACATCAGATTTCAATAAAATATCCTGTGTAACATTTTGCTGAAAACTTCAGTATTTCGGGAACTAAATTTATATGAATATCTCGAAATAAGGAATCGTCTCCTCGAATATGGCTCAAAGGACGCCGTTTCATATATATAATTATATATTTTGACACAAATTTCATACACGATATATAATTATACGTGAAAATATATTGGGTAAGTTACCGGGAATTCTCGAGAGTAGCGCCATCGTTACCGGCCGAGCGAGAATCCGACGTGATCGACCGGTAAACGTCTCTGATCGATCTGTAAAATGCAACAAGAGACGCTACGATTGATACTAAAGCGTCGAAGCGTGGGCGTTGAATCGTTAATAATTCGCCGAGATAATCGGTAAGAAGGTGAGATAAAAGGAGAGAAAAACTGGTATGAGCGTTCACTCGGGCGGGAAGGCGCGATGAGCGGTCGCGTCAGCCGAGACGTGCGTCGTCCCGGGTGAAAACGGCGCAGTACGTCGGGGTTAGCGCTCTGCTCGCGCGAGGGAATTTATATGTCGCGCACTCAATGAAAGTCCTCTCGCGAGAGGACAGGTGAGGGAAATCGGACGTTCCGATATGGCGGCAAATTTCGTGGCTTGACCGGAGAGAACGCGGCCCGCCGACGTACGTGCACGTCGACGACGATTCACGCACGTTGGCAAGTTAATCGACGGAATCGTCACCGGTTTTGAACGCACCGTCTCTCCGCACCGCGGTTTTCAAGCGCGCACAGTAGCGACTTATCATGGCGGCGCGAGATTTTTTTTCCCAGCGTACTCTCGGGGTATCTCGGTTTGTACTCTAGTGCGTGACGCTCACTCGTGCCGAGGAATTCGCACGAATCCGAGCAGCACGCGTATTACGTTGGTCCGCTGTGCGCGTGGAGGGCGATCCTAGGCTAGTCCGCGATAAGCAGCCAGCCGTGCGTTTCTGATAAATAAAACTCGTGCTGTTTAGTTCAAGAACCCTTTTTATGTACACACACACACACACACACACACGCGCGCAAATGTAGTGTGCATGCCCGTACATTTGTTTACACATTCTTCTATTGTCTCCGGATAGTTTGCGGGTTATAAAAACACGGAGCGGAGGATGTGTGAACGAATTTCCGTTGTAGATCGCTAGAAATTTCTGTCGCTATATATCTTGTGAATTTTCAAGATACATCAAGATGAACAAACGTCGTAGAACGTCGTCGGTAGCTAGCCGCGGCACTGAAGATGACGGCGACGATATCCCACCGGAACCAACGAAGAGGAGGAAAAAATTGGATCCTGTGAGTGCCCGTGTCTCTCGGGTTTATGTCGAATGTCTGTTAATATTTCTTTTGCACAGAGTGACCTGTGCCAACAATTGTACGATGTGCTGCGTAACCAGAAGAAGGAAGACGGCAGCTTGTTGTGCGATGCATTTATACGTGTGCCTAAACGCAGGCAGGAGCCAGGATACTACGAAGTTGTCTCCAATCCTATCGACCTCTTGAAAGTGCAGCAGAAACTAAAAACCGACGAGTATCGCGATATGGATGACTTGGCTGCTGATATTCAACTTATGGTTAATAATGCAAAAGCCTTTTACATGGTAAGATTACATCTTCATGAACCATTTGGTTCACACGCAATATTAATGCTATCGTTTCTTCCTTGTCGGCGACTGAAACATTTTGCCGCATAATTTTTATAGCGTACATCCCCTGAATATAAAGACGCGACTGAATTGTGGGAATTGTGTGTAAATACCAAGAATCGTATTACGGAAGAATATGAAGACCCAGAACCTAAAGGGAAACTCATCCTAAAAGTTGGAAGACTGGTAATTCTTTTAATTTAACCAAATATTATGTATTATATACATACAGGTTAGTAAAATAGCCTGAAAACATGAAATTACATATCTGTCTAAAGCTTATCCATTCTTACTTTTATGGGAAGCACCAAAATGGTTGATATATCTTTGAAATGTTCTCTCCTTTTAGCGTAAAGCAACGAGACAAGATGACGCCGAAGATACTTCTGAAAGTTCAGCAAATCTCGATGAAGAAACTATGCAGCTGTTTGAAGATCTATTTACAGCAGTTATGACAGCGACTGATCCTATGGACAATAACAGGCCTCTTCACACTATGTTTCAACTCAAACCCTCCAAGAAGGTTTGCATTTTCCACCTCTCTTAATCCTTCGTTAGTCGCGACATTTTTCACCCACGGTATCTCACGGATGATTGGATACGCCTGTGACTAACGAAGGGTTAAATTGAACTCTTATTTGATTTCTTAACAAAATTGCTCATTCACCTCGCAGCTTTATCCCGAATATTATGACGTCATCGAGACACCGGTCGACTTGAAGACTGTCGCACGAAAAATTCAAGAAGCTGCGTACAGCTCGGTCGGTGATATGGAAAAAGATCTGATGCTTATGTGCCGTAACGCCTGTCAATTTAACGAACCCGGCTCGCAAATTTATAAAGACGCCAAACTTTTGAAGAAAATAATCACCGCAGCTGCAAAGAGGCAAGACAGTGGGTTGGGCGGTAATACGCCTAAAATCACTACAACCGCGCCTTCGACGAGAAGTAAAAGAGGCAGTCGTACTATGGCGCAATCGTTGATAGCACAAACAGCAGCGTTAGTCGACGAAGACGACGAAAGCGATGACGAAGATGAAGAATTCGCTGAGACTGAAGATCTGGATAACCCGCAATGGCAACTATTCCAAACCATCCGGACAGCTCCCAATAATCAAGGTGCGAATCTCTTTAATTAGCATTATAAAGTTAGCGTTGTTCCCGCAAATTTCTCAAGATAATTATTACATCATATTGCGTCATATACGTAGGTCTTCGAATAAGCGAATATTTTTGGAAGCTCCCGCCGAAGAGAACATATCCTGACTACTATAAGACGATCAAAAATCCTATATGTTTACTGCAAATACATACAAAAATAAAGGTATGTGATAATAACAATTTCGCGCAGAATATTCATGTCTATTAACAGTCTGAAAATGGAATACATTATCCAATCACGATTTACAGAAAGGTGAATACGGTACCGTTAGCGAAGTAGCCGGAGACATGAATATCATGTTTGAAAATGCTAAAAAATATAACGTACATACGTCTCGACTGTACAAGGTAATAATAATAATCCTGCGATATTTCAGGTTACAATTATTAGAATAAATTCTCTATTATGGATATAAAGTAGCGTGGAAACATTTCCTCCGCTACTTTATGACCTATATGAAGATGTCAGCAGTTTATGATCGGTATTTAGTTCATAACAAGTTGTTTAAACTCTGTTCAAATGCATTTGATTTATGCCCGTTTTCTACCATCATACTTCAAATATAATAAATGATTCACGGAATCGCATTAATCATTTTATCGTGCAATTTTGTGAGTGGCTAATTCGGCCGATTACATTTAAACCATGATAGTGGAAACGAGCATTACATAGTTAACTTTAGTTTAAACCAATTATTGAAAAACCAACTCTAACTGTATATATTGGAGTGTGTGTATGGATGAAGTACGTACATCCTTCCTACGATCCTTCAAATCAAATTCGGACACTGTAATGATACCGCCTGTAATAATCAATCACATTCACCTTGTAAATTTTATCGCAGAGTGCGGTCAAGTTGCAGAAGATAATGCAAGAGAAAGTACAGGAGCTTCTAGAATTCGATCAGGTAATAGTTCACATTGCCCTCATTGGTAAATCTAAAAATAATCTGTGCAGATTATTCTGTGTAAAATTGCACCGATAGTTTTTGCGTGCGATACTTCCGAGATACGAATATAACATTGAGTTTTCGACACTTGCAGGATTCCGATTCAGATAGCGAGTCGGAGAATAGCTCTCAACAACCTAAATTAATCAAACGCGCCTCAAATTTGTTAACTCGTGGAAAGTACAAGGACAATATACCGCTGAAGAAGAGATTGTACGCGTTAGTCAAGTGTGTCATAGAATACGTTGTAAGTAATTCCAAAATATGTCAAAATCAACCGAATCAGTTGACATATAGCACGCCTAACTTTTTATATAGTGCGAAGACGGTCGGCAACCCATGTTGATGTTCATGGAAAAGCCTTCGAAAAAATTATATCCGGATTATTATCAAGTGATAGCGGAACCCATAGACATGTTGGCGATCGAGGCCAATATTAAGGCGGAGAAATATCAAAGTGAGAATGAATTAATACAAGATTTTAAGGTACTTAGACGGCACGCGTCGTGTTAACTATTAATTCGCCTCACGACAACCTATGATAGATATTTTGCCTATAAATGCTGTCTCTTGTCTCAGTTAATGTTTAACAATTGCCGTCAATACAACGAAGAAGGTTCATTGATATACGAGGATGCCAATACGTTGGAGAAAGTCTTGATGGACAAAGTGAAGGAATTGGGACCTTTGCCGGACACTCCCAAGTCCAAGTCTACCGCATCGACGCCAACCAGAAACGTCGGGTATGTTTAGTGTTTGTACAAAACGTGAAACGTACAGGTAACGGTATTGTTTTCCTCCCTTTTCTACTCCTCTTCTCCTACTTGTACGTTTAGGAGACCGAAGAAAGTAGTGCCGCTTCATTTGCAAAAATTAAAAACCTTATACGATACCATAAAAGATTATCATGACGCGAAAGGGAGGCAACTATCCTTAATTTTCATGAAGTTGCCGAATAAAAATGAATATCCGGATTACTACGAGGTGATTAAGCAGCCGATACATATGGAGAAGATAGCTGCCACCTTAAAGAATAACGGATATGAAAATTTGGACGAATTAGTGTCCGATTTTATATTAATGTTTGACAACGCGTGCAAATATAACGAGCCGGACTCGCAGATATACAAGGTTTGTATATTTTAGAAGTTAGACATTCCTTTCCTTCCAAGAGCATCGTGCAGAGAAGCGTATATTGCTTTGTATGTGCTCAGGAATGTATGCTGCAGAGACTTATTAATATTATCAGTGAGGATAAGTATTTGAAGTTGCCTTTTTATGCAATATGATTTTAATTACATTTGGTAAAGAAAGAACTTGCCAGTCAGCGATTTTCAACTGCTTTGTTTCTACATTAACACAGTCTTTAACCTCACACACACACACACACAAGTCCAATCTCCCATAAAACATCATTATTTTTATTTTAATGAAAGTCAATATACGACGTTTGAAACTATTGCGTATCTATCGTTTCGTTTATACAGCATTTTATTAGTAACATGTAATCCCGATTAAAGTTATGATTTTTGCGATTGTTGACTCCTGAAGATTATCAAGAAGAGAATACCACCAAAGTTATATTGATCTTTTTTAACTTTATTTAATTTATAAAAATATCTTCCTGAGTTTTTATCCTGAAGTAGTCTTGTAATTATACGATTTTTTTCTATTGTTAAAGCAACATATAAGAAAATTGACAGTTGATCAATAATTTTTAAGTAATTGAACGAAAACCGTTTGAAAATATAATTCCGAAAGAGTACTGCATATGCTTGAAAATCTAATTTCTTACAAGACTAATTGCACTCGAAATAGTATGGTGGTCGCGTAGAAACTGAAATTGAAATTTCGCGGTAAAACATGGAAAGCCCAATCTGTTTACGGCCGGGATTTGGAGGTTACGTGGGGTTTCCACCTCGACTTTGTCGCACGTTTTAATCTTTTGTATCTTATACAAAAGAGCAAATTCTTCTAAATGATGTTTCTCATATTTTTTTGAAATATGCGTTTACATATTGTACATACTTGAAAATTTATTAACAATGTATTGATCGTGATTATTAGATTTTATTAATCTCGAGTAACAAGTGTGCATTTTTATCGCGATCTTCCGACAAGTGTATTTTACAAAGTGCTTCCAAGTTTTACCCCGCGACAAACTTGATTATTCGTCATGCAAGCCCCAAGAATATTCGAACAAAGCGAATATAGTCTGACGAACAATGTAATAGTACAAAATCCATTAAAAACCAGATCGTGTTTCATACGCCTGTTGAGAGACAAGGAGGTTGAAGAACGCATTCGAAAAAAGTATAAGAAGAACGAGACCGAAGTAAATGTTAATTGATATATTGCTCATTGAAAATATTATTAAGCCGTAGATATTAGTATTTGCGATAAATAATGATGTGTACATCGACATTTTAGGATGCTTTAATACTTCAAAGATTAGTGTTACAAAGTAAGCTACAACTGAGCGAAGATGAAGAAAGTGTTCCAGATGTGTCAGCCGCTGTTCAAGAGATATTAGCGACAATATTTACCGCGCTTTACAATCATCAAGATGAAGAAGGGAGATGTTACTCCGATTCTATGGCAGAACTTCAAGAGCACGATATTGTTGATGGAAAAAAGTATGAGTGAAGTTTATTCACTTCGGTGATAGATACGAAGAAAGATTCCGAAGAAGAAAAGATATTTACTTTGGAATCTTTTTGCGTACCCAAAGTTGTCCCATTATCTGCATATGAATAAGATGTAACGGCTATTTTTGTATATCGGGAAATAGAGTACGAGGTTTGTCACTGGACTTGATCAAGAGGAGATTGGATCGAGGAGTGTACAAGAGGTTGGATCGGTTCCAAGAAGATGTTTTTACATGTCTGGAGAGAGCCCGCAGGTTAACGCGTACAGATTCACAGCCGTTCGAAGATAGCGTGGAACTTCAGGCGTTCTTTTTGCGCACACGCGACGAGGCAACCCGCGGAGGGGATCTGTTGCACTCGCCGGCGTTGAATTACACGCTTCTTGATTTGTCAGCTCAGGTGGCAGAACTCAAGAGATTGAAGCAACAGCAGGAATTAAATCTCCCCAACGAAGATGAGAGCTGTGACGGAAATGAGACAAAGGTGGCGCGTTTTCTCTCTCGCTGAAACGATTGTTGACATCTGTCTGACGCGTTTGAAACATTGTTTCAGGATTCTGAAACAAATACAAACACGGAGACAAATAATAGTGATAACGGAGGATCCATGAGTTTCAACCAAGAAGTGTACAGGGCCGGTGACTTCGCCTATGTCGAGCCGACGGAAAGAGGCATGGAATGCGGCGTGGTTCTCATAGAGAGGCTCTGGACCAACGCGGAGGGTCAGCAAATGTTGTACGGAAATTTGTTTTACAGACCGAGCGAGACGTATCATGTTGCATCGCGGAAATTTCTCGACAAGGAATTATTCAAAAGCGACGCTCACGTAGCGATACCTTTGGTAAAAGTGGCGGGCAGATGTTGCGTTTTAAGTGTCAAGGATTACTTTCGCATGCAACCGGAGGGATTCCTCGAGAAAGACGTGTACGTATGCGAGTCGCGTTATTCCACGAAAGCCAGAGCTTTCAAGAAGATCAAAGTCTGGAATTTCGATCCTGATCATTTGAAATTGGTCCCGAGGGAGAAACCGTTAGAACCGAAACGTGTGATTTCTGTATATAAAGAACGATTAGAAAAGCATAAGGAAGAAATCGCCGAGTTGGAGGAGGGGGAGAAATTAATGGAGAAGGAAAGACCGGTGAGTGACTCGGTACACAAGAATTTCGTACAAATTAAAGTAAGTAAATACACTGTAGCCGATGCACTAACGTTAACGTGTGATTTTCAAAGATATTCCAGTTTTGAAATAATCTGGAATACTTTTGACAACACTTCGTATATCCTAATATTGGCGCATTGTTTTACATTCGCTTGTTATCGCTGCTATCTCTCAAAGATTTTAATCGTCGTTACTCTCGTTATATGTATGATACGATTTAATATAATTTCTTTTACATTACCGCAACAGAATGTGATACTGTACAATCCGGAAGATACCGAAAACACATATTACGAACAGTACAACACATGCGCGGGATCTGTGAAAACTGGTGATTTCGTTTATGTAGCGACAGATGGGGGCAGGCAGCAGATAGCGCAGATCGATGCTCTCTGGTCAACCAAAGAGTGAGTAACAATGTGCCGCTTTGCGCGAAGGTAATTCCGTGCTGACGCGTATTTGTGTTTCAGCGGCAAGTGCTATTTCAAAGGTCCATGGCTATTGATGCCTACAGAAGTGCCACATACACCTACGAAATTATTTTATAAGCAAGAACTGTTCTTATCCACCGTGGACGGTACTCATCCGATCGTTGCTATCGTTGGCAAGTGCGCGGTCCTTGATTACGGGGAATACATATGCAGTGAGTATTCAACGACATTCCTAAGCGAGATTGCGAGGAAGTGAATTATCGCATATCGATACGCTCGCTCGCGTGATTACAGGCCGACCGACGGAAATACCAGAGGATGACGTGTATATTTGCGAGTCGCTATACGACGAAAGTAAAAGCTTAATGAAGAAACTCGGCCAGGAAGGCCTGAAAAAGTTCAATCACACGTCGGCGGTGACAGATGACGAGATCTATTTCTTCCGGAGGCCCATTAATCCCGCCAAGGTTTGTATAAGAACATTTCACTAACATACGCAGCGTAGTCATTCGGCAAATAATGGAATAATCGGTTCTGCGCGACTAACTGCCGAGTTATCGCTTCGCATGTTATGTGTGTGTTATAGGTTTCGAGCGACGTGGCTCAGACGCAAAATCAAGTCAAGTCCGTCACGCCCAGCTCGGCTCAATTTGAGATGGTAATTACTAATTACGAAATCTTACGTACATCTCTCGTTTTTTCAATAACGAAGAATCGCACGTTTCCACGTTCGGGATCACACGCAAGCTGATANATATATATATATATATATATATATATATATATATATGTGTGTGTATGTGTGTGTATATAAGAGGAAAGAGAAAAACGCTTTTTCTCTGTTTCATACAAAATTATTTGCGTGTGATAGTTCGTCAATCGAATGCATCTAGATGCATGTTTCTTCGATCTATGCCGGCATATTCAACTCCTTCTCTCTCTTCTTTTCGTTTAGTTTTGATTATGTGTAATTATGTGTTACGTATGGTGTTTGTCTACCGAACATTTTTGCATATCCGACAGTTTTCAAGTCAGAGCACCTGTTGGGTTTATCGCTGATACGTTTGCAAACATAAAGCACCACCGAAAGATCTCGCTTCCATGTCATTCTAACCAAACTAATGTAAAAAATTTGCCTTCGAGTGCCGACGACTAATCTCTTGACTCTCAAAAAGTGTGCAACAACACATGCGTTAATACTACCGATGTAGCGGCAATTTCGGATTTAAAGCCGGACATTACGTCACTGATCAGATCTATCGTAAAGTTCTTGAACGGGAAGAATGGTAGCTTACTTTTTGGGGCATACTTTGGATGAGATAAACGTTGCTTTTATCGTTAACTCGAACCGTTGTGAAGAAGGGAAAATCGCGCGATATCGCAATCGGAGACATTGAAGGTAACATAACATAAATGGTGTAGGAAGCATCACCATTGTTACCGAAGCTGGAACCCGATGTACTAAGCATGGGGGTAGGATTAGGAGTGGGAGTGGGAGTAGGAGTTGGGGAAGACAGCATGGATGCTGGTGGTCCACCATCCGTTGGATCCACGGAAGCTCAACCGGTGCTCTCCAATACTCAAACTCCTGTGTCGACTAAGAAGGTAGGCTTTACCGTGACCTCTTATTTACCTTTATCAACTCTATTCACATGTCTCATATGTTTTCCGTTTATTTTCACTTCCGTTTTATTTAGAGAAATATGCCAGCATACCTTTTTTTTTTTCTTTTTGAGCACCGTTGATACACACCTCACTGGATCTAGGTCGACAATTTGATGTTTACCTCTTGTGAGAAATATGTGTAAAAGACAGAAGGAAAGAGGAATACTCGTTAACATGAAACGTTGACATTATAATTTGTTTCTCTTCTGTTTAGAAAACGGCGGGTAAGAAATTAGTTACGGGCTATATTTTGTATTCGAGTAAAATGCGAACGCAGATTACACAAAACAATCCTGAATCGTCCTTCGGAGAGATTAGCAGAATTGTTGGCAACGAGGTATTTATTTCTTTTTCACTGTTGATTTTTTAGTTTGTTGAGAAGAATCTTTGACTGAAGGAACGTACGCCGAATAAATTTCTTTCATACGGATACTTACGAAACTCTCATCACCGGATTTTTCGATCCGAGTGTCGACGTGAAATTTGTCTCGAGAGTCTCAAATAACGCAATATGCATCGCTAAAGCCATTATTCAGCGTACTCGCTCCTTTATTCAAACGAATCACGTTATATCTCAGTGGCTACTTCCTATCGTTCTCCTTAGCATGTGTTTATACATAGATATCGTAAATGCACAAACAGTTGTATGAAACATATCACGTTCTTCCCACACGGTACGAGCTTATAACATGTGCTGTGTCGTAATTCACCCGTATTTCGCGCAAAGGGGAGTAGCCATTACTTTGAAACAGTTAGTCGAGCCACACAGAGAGATACAACGAGATGGTTTTGCCAACTGTTGATCATGGATTTTACGAGTAACGCGACTTGACGGCGCAAAACGTGTAAAAATGGCTTTCCTTCCAGTGGAGGAAGTTGCCGGCGGGCGAGAAGCAAGCCTGGGAGGAACGAGCGATCAAGATGAACGAGGACGGGGGACAGTTGAAAGGGACGTCGGTATCGGTAGGCACGACCGCTACACAGGACGTAGTGTACGAGTGTTGTTGGGACAATTGTGATTGGCAGTTCGAGGACATGACCGATTGCATCGATCACTGCATCGCCGAACAAAATGGCCATGTGCAATCGTCATTCGTGAACGCTCCCAGCGGTAAGTATGAGATCCGAGAGAAACATTCCGTGCGGAAGGCTCAAATTGCGACATTGTTGCAGATGTGGAGTTTCAGTGCCAATGGCGCGGCTGCGGCCGCACGAAGAAGACCGTTCCGCCGTTCCCGAGCGTACAGAGACTCGCCAGACACGTGAAGGAGGTGCACATTCTCAAGTCGCACGGTCGTATAATACCTCCCTCCGAGAGAAGCAAGTAGGCATCGTTCTCCTCTCGTATCTTTGTGCATACAGGCTGTTCGGAACTTGCTTTTATATCGATAAAAGTGCCTCTGAAAGGAAGAAGCATTTTTCTCGAGAAAAAAAGACTCATTCTTCAAAAGACATTCGCGATGAGTAAACTGTTATTCAGACAAACTTTCAGACAAGAGGGAAAGTCCTTTCAAAATCCAGTCAGGAATATGTCTTTCGAAGAACAAGTGGTTGCTCTGAATCATCCTATATATCGCACATAAAAGCGACCTGACCATACCATTTTCGCGTTTTCCCGTAGGAATTATATGGCTTCGAAAGGGCCGACGGTATTGCCACCGATGGAAACAGGTAAATCTTATTGCGAAAATCTTGCAAATGCTATGAATTAAGGGGAAAGAGATTAAGATAGAATCCGGTCTCTCTTTCCTCTCTCTCTCTCCCCCTCCCTTCGTTCTCTTTCTCACGTGCAGAAACTTCAGCCGCAGCGACTCAAACGAGCAGCATACCTGCCGCCAAGCAGCCGGAACCGATGTTCGTCGCGGTACCGCCGAGACCAAGCCGCGTCTTGCATTCGGATGCTTATTTGAGGTAAGACTTTGAGCGTCGATTGCACAAAATATCTTTCGGTATTGTTGCGATACTTCTTGACGTCACCTCGACGAGAAATATCTCTCAATGTTACATTCAAGCCTATATCTTTTACTTCATTCCTTTTAAATCCGTACAGGTACATCGAAGGATTAAACGTGGAAAACCGTTACATATCAAATTGGGATAAGCAAATGAACGCTAATCCGGATAACACGCAAATCCCGGACGTGACGAAACTGCCTGCCGAATGGTTGGGCAATGGCGTCGGCAACCATGGCAATGTGGTAAACGCTTTGTGGACACTCAGAAACATGATGATGCGGGATGTGTTAGCCATTAATAAAACTTTATAGTTTATAAACTGTTAAGATTGTATAACTTTTTTTTCTTTTTTTTTTAATGCGCTTGCGATGCCACCTACACTTTGGTAATTCAGACAGACAAGTTCGTTGATGCTAGATGAAAGACTGAAGATATTCAATCTTTTGAATGTTAGGATATTTATGTCAACGTTTAGGATCCGCGTTTTGTTTGTTTTATTTCTATTATATTACTTAGTGTGTTTTTTTTTTTCATAATTTAATGATCAATGAACGCGGTAATTATGACGAAATATATCCTGCAAAAATGTGACTGCTCTAAATATTTAATTTTTTTATTCAGATTTCTCCAAGTTTAGAGATTCGAAAAGTGAGAAGAAAAATTTATGTTTAACTATATATTAGAGAAATTACTGTTCTTTAAACACTTTTCACCGCGTGTCGCTTAAGTATACGACGTGTGTACATAAGGAAAGTTTAGTACATAAAAAAAAAACCATCATCATGTAAATACGTCTGCTATGATCTTCGTTTTTACTTTTCGAACAAAATTTTATACTTTCCGTATAGCGCAGTAATACATATTCTTGTATTAAGAGACACAAAAGTTGAAATACTTCCTGTGCTGTATTAAAAGTGTAATAGGAAAGTTGTATGTATATAGGAACTATACAATAATCTGCGAAGCGGTCTATTGATAGTGCGACAAACATGCCGCTTTATTTTAGCAGTACTGTTCTGATATTCTCGGAGGATATCGAAGGCATAGCGAGATTAATCAAACGATCTATGTGCTATTGTGTCCCAATAGCTGAAAGGAATGGAATCCTATGGCGCATCTTCGACAGTGTAACATCTCGTAGTACATTATTTTGTTAAGAATTTTCGACATCGTCAGAGAAATTTTCAAAACGTTGCAAATACAAAATGAAATTTTTACTACAGTAAAAATTGTGTACATACATTCTTCTCACTACGATATGTTTGTAGAATTAACTGTGCTCTTTTTCTACACGAACGGCTTAATATTAGTGCTTAGAAATTTATCATGTCTTGGCTAAATAAAAATGTCTCTGCTACTATATCTGGCAGTGTCTTAATACACATTGCATATTTTTATACATGTAACATACATTTATATAACTTTTAAGCTTTTTGTGTAGATTAACATAACAAGAGCCAGACTTTAGAAGAAAGTCACTTGGAATCAATGCCAAACACATTAATAAATTTGTAGGTATTTGCAAAAAAAAAAAACTAACTCCTCAATATTATATTCTCGACGGAAAGAATGTTCTTGCGTGTAATGTAATTTATTACTTCAACGTGAGATAAAATTTTCATTCTGAAACCTAAATGTTTTCCTGTATTGTATACATGAGACATTATCGATTTTCTATTTAATCATCTTGATTCACACCATTTAGTGTTGACTGCCTAGGAAAATTCAATCTCATTCATTTTCTATATAAACAAAGTTAGCAAAGACTAGTGGGTCGTAATGAGCTTATTTTTGTATTTTACACGTGTATCATGTAAAAGTTGATAGTGAGCATACAACTCTTTCATTTCAGAAATCGGTGACTCTACCACGATGTTGCCAATCTCCCCATTTAGTAGGCTCCTTTTCGCAATCTGCTATCAATTCTCCAGTTTTCGAGTCAATTTCCACCAACACTAGATCCACAAACCGTTCTCGTGGTCCTACTTCTATTAAGCAAATGAGGAAATTAATACGAAATTTTGCAATTCAAAACACGATTGATGATCGTGTGGATTTTTTACATAGTGGACTTTTACATAGTATATTATTATTAAAAAAGTCGATCTATATATGTTGATTGAAACAAATCATGGAAACTCGGATGAAAATGTTTTGCTGAAAGTACTATGAAATCGATGAAGAGTGAAATGAAAGTTATTGGAAAATTACTGAATACATATAAAAATGGATCATAATTTTCTTTATGAAATGCAATATATGCGTATGTGAAATATAAGGGAAGTTAAAGTATACTGTTGAAAAGTAACAAAAAATTTATGAAATATTAGATATTATTTGTTGAATATAACTGAAAATTGTGTAATTTTTTAAGGAAAAATTGCTGAAATATCGATTAAAATAATATACTGAAATATATATGAGATGAAGTGGGATTAATGAGGGAAATTTTGAATTTTACATTTCAGCAGATTTGTATTGTATCTTCAGTAAAATATTTCCATCGGAGAGTGTAACAAGAAATAGTCGATATCGAGCAAAATCTTGGTCTCGCCAACTATTTATTTTATCAATTATTATTTGTATTACGTACTTGGTATCGGCTGTAATTTGAGCTTTTCGTGGAATTGCTTCATTCGTGGCGATTCCTCCCGCTCGCTTTCTACAAACGCGTCTACGTCTTGCTTTATTTTCAGCAGCGAAGTATCTAAACGCAGATCACTCATTTAATTTTTGTTTCTCCGAGAAGAACATAGTCGAAAACGTTAGGATGGGAAAAAGCAACGCTCTATATTAGCTAGAGTACTAGTTTCAAGCTGGCAAATATAGATTATTCAGAAACGTTGGGTCGCTCATACTCGTGACAAATTGTCTGCAATTTCTCGGCCGCCATTCCGTCAGGATGAGATTCAATGTTCGAATCATTTTGCAGACGTTTTGCTACGAAACAGCCCGGAATACTTATAGAAATATCGACGTGAAAATTAATCGTTCATTTTGTTAACAAAACACTCATGCGCGTATTTCCAACTGTCACGATAACTCTTTAGATATACAGAGTACAAAAAGTAGGTGCGCAGTTTTTAGATTGAACATTCAGGAATAAGACGACATAATACATTGAAACGAAACACGATGCTATGACAAAGTACTTTATTCAGAACAAGCGTTCTTCATGACATATTGATTGATTTTGTCGACTGGCAATCGATTGATGTGTCGACTGGCAAAATATTCTTAGACTCGGTGTTATCGCAACGTTATAAATTAACGCTTTATTTTCTCCTTCGCAGCTGCAATCGCTCAGAAGTCTGTGACACGGCCTTTCCTTTCCCAATCACCATAACGGGTCGGTTCGGGACCGCGCGGACCTCCGATTTCGCCCGTTTCTGGATTCGTGTTGTCCGGGAACGGCTTTAGAGGTTCTTGCTCTTGATAAGGATGCTCGCCTTCTCCCAACTCCTCCAATTTCTCTGTGATGTTTAAATTTTCCAGGAAAAATTACTCGTTATTTTCATAAAAATTGCAGAATAGTAGCCAACCATACTCAAGATTAACGCTCAAAGGTGAAGTTGAAGCCTTAGTATTTTTCCTTACTGCTGCTTTTTGTGACTGGCACTTCGAACACATTATTACCACTTTTTTCCGTGAAATAAATTAAAGAGTCGCCCTCCTGAGTATAGCTGGATACTTAAGGAACACCTTATATAATTATATAAAATTATACCTAGTTTGTTTTTATGTATGGAACATTTTTTCCGTGATTTTTTCATTACTTCAATTTCTAATTTTGTGAGACTTGCAAGTTCTATGGGACGTACGTACCTATAGGAGCGCGTTCGCGCAATTTCTTCCGGAATTCACGTAATCTCGGACTCTCGTCGACTTTGTCCGTGTCTTTGGACGAAAAGAAACGTGCGGGACCTTTCAAAGGAAAAATGTTACAAGTGTAATTAGACGTTGTGTGTTACTCCAATATATAAAAATTGCTTATATATAAGGATGACTATATATAATCATATACGTCCACATCGAAAAAATACTGTTGTTTACATATTATATACAATCGAAGTAAATGCTACTTCTGACACAGCACATGATATTGACATGTAATTAAATGACACATCATTTTTTTCGTATATGTGGCCACATAAAATTCATGTACGACTTTATATAATTATATATAATCATTTTTAATTCCGGGAGTATGGATAATGTTCGTCCTTCACCTTTTAAATATCTTGCAAATGTTGATTGACGCAAAATTCTCGAAATTAAAGTACCGTTAGCCATTCTTCCGTCAGATCTGCTTCTCGAGGACGAGGCGCAATCCGTCAAAGTTATGTCTGCTTCCTTTTGCAATCACGATTCAAGCAACGTCTCCAATTGTCAGTCCTAGATATTGTATGAAGTATGAAACAAAGCGTCCTCTCAAGAATTACCTAACATCTCAATATCGTACTTGAAACAATTTTAAACGGACTTTAAAACTTCCGGTCGTTTAAGTTTACCGCGTGAAACATTTGGGCACACATAACCTACGAGACTCGCTCGTTTCACCGCGAATCACTTCTTTCCTCACGTTACAAGGACGATCCGAGTATTCGTTCGTTAAACTTCTAAGGAAAGCCTGAGAGAAAAGAGCAAACCTATCGAGCGCAGTTGCAGAACACACACCGAGTACAGAAAGTGCAAAAAGCACGGCTAACTTCACTCGGGACGCGGGGGCAATATGACGCACCGAGTGTACGATCGCGCTCCAAAAAGACGACGTCCTGTCGCGACGTCACCCTCCGGATCAGCTGTTTATCTCGGTCAATGTCTGCTCATAGGATCGCTCTGACGCCACGCACGTCGTTTCCCATGGCTGGATGTGAGGCGCGAAAAGTAACGCAGGGCGCGTATCGAGGCTCTTCGTTGTTCTCCCAAGTTCTTCGAAGTTCCCCTTCGTGTTCCCTTGCACGGAAAACTTTTATGAAACTAACAGCCTGAAGAGAAGTTAAATACGGACGGTAAGGCGAGAGGAATACGTTTTATCACGCCCAAACACGACGTAACGACTGTGCAAACAATATTGAGTTATAAAATGGTGCGGTCGTTCGGTGAATCAAACGTTTCGACGCTGCAAATAGACAAATTTTGCGATCAGGCTTACATAAATCGGAACTCAATTCGAATAATGCTGGCTTAATAATACTGGCTTTTTATCAAATAGTGTGTTATCTCTCAACAGGTCAAGACACAAAAATGGGACAGACTCTTAGTCAACCGATAACATCGAAGAAGTCAGCCTGTTGCTGGGACATCAACTACAGAGTGGGTAGCTCCTGTATGCAGGGATGGCGTATTAAAATGGAAGATTCGCATGTGCATATACTCTCCTTACCCAATGATCCAGATACTGCGTTCTTTGCAGTGTACGATGGACACGGAGGTGAGTACTTGCTTCTAGAAAGTTATTCTAAGTTTTACAATCTCGAATTTAATCCGCTGATTATCCCATTTGAATCGCACTTGTCATTAAGCAGGAGAAACAACGGCTCGATGTATCTCACTAATTTTCTCATTATTTTCCTCAGCTTCTTGAAATCATTCTTCTTTCTTTTACCATTTGGCTGATAGACCAAGCACTAAAGTACATAAAAATAGAACAATATGTACATCTTTTGTTAAAAAGAATCACAATAAAAGATACGTTCCTAAGAGATAGTTTCATTTCTACACAAGTAAATCCAACACACACACACACACACACACACACACGTATTTACACAAATATTTGTACGCTCATAGGTGCATCCATGGCGCAACATGCTGGGAAGCATCTCCACAAATATATCAGCAAGAGAAGCGAGTACAAGTCTGGCAATATTATGCAAGCTATACAGCAAGGCTTCTTGGAACTGGATAAAGCGATGCAGAACGACGCCGCGCTTAAGGACGAGCCGGCCGGGACTACCGTCATCGCTCTCCTCGTCAAAGATAACATTTTATACAGCGTAAGTCGTGCGTTACTTCAACGACACATTTTGCATTCGAATCGCTGACCAGTAAGAAGAGCTCTATAGGCTAATGCAGGTGACAGCAGAGCGGTGGCGAGCATCAACGGCAAGACGGTTCCTCTCAGTCGAGATCACAAGCCCACGTTGAAGGACGAGCGCGCGCGGATCGAAGCCGCGGGCGGCTTCGTCGAGTACAAGAGAGTAAACGGCAATCTAGCTCTGTCACGCGCACTCGGGGATTTCATGTTTAAACGAAACGAGCGGAAATCACCGCAAGAACAAATTGTCACCGGTAATAACAACGTTGAACGATAGAATATTCATTCTCACACACTGCTCGTAGTCAAGTATCGTTTCTTCATGTTGTCTGACACATATTTTTAGTCGTCAGTATACAAGTATGGTATCAGTCATAAAAAAGTTTTTCGACACTTTCTTTCGCGACGCATCAGACAGGGAAAATGTCTCTCTTGAGAATTACTCAAACTCTCTTATTGGATGTTTTGAGACTCGTCTAAAAGAAAGTAGCTGCTTTCCAGTAAGTTGACATAAATCTAGTTATTTCATCATCGTTTCGCATTTGGTAAAAAAAAAAGGATAACTAGACTTGCGTCTTTTGCTGGAAAGCGCAACCTTTATGGCACGCATATCTATGCTTATTTTAAAAACGTTTGTTATTTTCTGATATCAAATTGCAGAGATATCAAGAATGTTGATGGAAAATAGATTACCGCTATTTTATTGTCTTGAAATATTATTTCAAATAATATTGTATTTATTTCATACATTGTTTTTTTTACTGTATAATTTGACATAGCTCGAAATAACTTTTCCGAGAAAAGTCTTGCGATATCATCGCGAGTAACGTATTGTATCATCTTTCGCAGCCTTTCCTGAAGTACAACAGTTCCCTATTACCGAGGACTGGGAATTCGTGATTCTGGCGTGCGACGGCATCTGGGATGTGATGACTAGCGAGGAAGTCGTTAACTTTGTGAGAACGCGTTTGGCCCACACGAAGCTGGGAGAGTCGCAAACGACGAAAAACGACAACATATATCCCGAGGAGATCTGCGAGGAACTTTTGAATCACTGCCTGGCACCGGACGCTCTGATGGGTACCGGCTGTGATAACATGACAGTGATACTCGTGTGTTTTCTCCACGGTAAACCGTGTTCGCAGTTGGTCCTGCGTTGTCAAGAACCGTCAAGTATAGATCCTTAACCTTCTTAGGTATACATAGTGATGTTTTATTACTTTTTATCTAAATTATTCGTACCTTATTTTATTCTCGCGTCGGTGTAATCTGACTTTTGATATAGAGATATTTGTTACGCAATATATATATATATATGTGATAAGTGTGCAATATATATATATATATATATATATATATATATATGTGATAAGAGGAATAGTTGATTCTCTCTTTCTACATTGTGAAGTGATCAAGCATATTTTACAAAATACATCTTATTTATTCTCATTTACGTTACTGTATGATAAGTCTCGACATCCCGATTTATAACTGCTTCTACATAAAAATACGTGTGCACGCCCGAAAGATAAGTTACACGGAAGCTCAATCGTGGGTAAGCTTTTATTTACAGTTTCAAACAATGGACAAGACCAGTCCGGATATAAGTGTCATAACAATCTTAATAAAATGCAATTAGATATCATTCAGAGCCCATAACGATCTTGTATAGAGGAGACTGCCGCGTTTGCGAATGAACTGAGCCTCCCTGCAACCTTGTTTACACCCTGGCGTACGCTCTCTCGAACATCGTCCAGATCTACGACACCGGCTCGTCCCGCGCCGAGGCGCATCGACAGCGATGAGGATGGCGCCGAGTTTTCAGTGCCAAAATAATCGGCCGATGAGATGCTGGATGAGCCCTCGAAACGACGTAAATTACTCTTACGTTCCCACTGCGAAAAATCGTTCTTCGTTGGAGAATAATGAAATTATGCTTTATATATTATCGCTGCTCTAAATCTCTCGCTACTGTGATATCTTGAAATATGCGATAAAATTAAGGTATCATAGATACGTAATTGAATCGTGTGTATTATCTCCTCGAATAAAACTATAGAGTGTGACGATTGTTGTCTTATCTTTTAAATATACTACGAATTATACCTCGGTGCTGCACTAGATAAAAACTATTAATAATCTCCTCGTGTGAGATATTTTTTCGCTCACCGAGTTATCGGAAGCACTGTCTTGAAAATATTGCTCCGAGCTGATGGCTTTCGCGCTACCGAATTTCTTCTGGGCTTCTCCCTCGACGGTGGGTGAAGAAGTTTTCATATCGTTCTTTGCGGTTCGTGTCGAGGTTACTAACCGCTTAGGCGGTTCCGGTTCCGCCACAACCACGATATCCTCACCGCGTGAAGACTTGCTGGTGCTATTAGCGTACATCGCGTAAAATTCGTCCAAGCCGACGAAAAGATCACGCTCGACGTCTACGTCTCTCGACCTTGGCTCCACGGCCGTTATAGTCTTCGACGATGACTCCTGTGTTATTATCTTCATGTCGCCAAGTGCGGAATGGCTCGCGCCACTAAACGAAAACAATAGATGACATTGAGCTAAGTCGTGAACCTTGCATTCGTACATATTTTACAAGAGCGACAAAATTCATTACCTTCGTACGTTAAATCCCATTCCAAGTCGTTCCGCTTGTCCGGCCTTCGACGGGTCCAGCTGCTTCGCTCTCTCCTCCACTTTCTTAGCCTGCTGACTCAAATTTTGCTCGTACCGGTAAGCAAGACGCGTGGCCAATTCCTTTTGTTCTTCCTTCGTCACCTCTTGATCCTTCTCTTGCATCTGTTTACCTATTTCCGTGATACTCCTCTCCAGCTCGTCAAAATTCGTCTTAACTCTTTGAGCTCCTAAACTCCCGGCTTTTTTCCCCAACTGTAATCAGGGAATAACGATAATTGCAATATATCGCGTTTCACCACAAATGTGTAAACTTACACCGGCCTTTTTGGACTGCACTGTCCTACGACCTATGGTAGGTTTCCTCTCGGATTGCACATTCGAGGTAGGATCAGAAAGTTTTACGGAAGGCCCTAAGCAATTAGAGGCAACCTCCGGTGGTATGCCACTCTCCGTATTATCATTATTTGACACAGGTGTGAGGAATGCCTTTTCTTCCGTCGGAATTATCGCTTCAGGTTGATGTGAGTCTATATTTTCATGTTGTTTGAAGAAGTCGAGCTCGTTTGCCTCTTCCGTTTCTGTACCCTCCTCTAAGTGAAGCTGCAAAAAGTACGATTGAAATATCGACTATATTATGTGCACAAAGTAATAGATGTTGCGTTTTGAAGTAGTGATAAAACGTATGCGTATTAAAAATGATGTCTTTACAATCTCCAAGTATGTTACGATCATATAGATGAGCAACAAGCTCTTTTGTTGCAACAAACGCAAGTAACACATATATCTGAGTAATCATAGACATACAGGACATTGGGCATGTGCATTGATATTAAAGATATGAAAAACAACCGATGTGTATGTTTATGAGAAATGAAAGAAGCAACTTTTCGTCATAAGCACACATTAGTCAACTTTCAAGCATTGGTTTTCTTTAAACATTCACTCGGCTCACCATTGTTTTACTTTTTGGCGAAGGTAGAGAAACCTATAATTACCATATTTATAATTACAGAGGATCTCTAACTAATAATATTTATTACATGTTACAAATGTTAATATTGTCTATTTAGTGATTATACCTTTGTGCCATAGCGGCGCATTGCTTGAGCTGACACCTGACCTAATTTCTCTCTGTATAACATAGCCGCACGTGAATTATACTTCTGTTGAGCGTCGTTTGAGGTACAATTGTGTTGCGCAAAGAATTTTCTCTAGAAATCATTAATAGGGTTGAGGCTAGGTGAAAAATGTATTAATTTTGTAATATCACTGATAATTAATAATAATATTGCTCAAATAATAATGATGGTATATCTATAGGAACAATAATACAAATAATGATATTGAAAGTTATGGGAAACTAACAGCGTTAGCATTACCACCCAGCTGCATATTCCTGAGCTGCAGCCACGTCCAATTTGTATCAAGTTGGGTGGATCTGACAAAAGTCACATGTACACCCAAACCACGATGCACCGCGGAACAGTCGATGCACAAAAAGACTCCATATGTTACACTGGACCATGCTGGATTCTTTGCGTTGCAGTCAAAGCATGTCTGGAAGAAGTTAATTATAATTTTTGCTTCTCCCTTTTATTCTAACTTCTCTAAATAAAAGTATAGATGCAACAAATTGTTTAGTATTGATTGTAGAAAATCAAGTAAGCGTCAATAAAGACATTTTTTTTTTTAATGCGTTTCAAAAACATTTAGTAGAAACGCTTTGCAAAATACAACTGTTCAAGACTTGACCACTTTCGTGCGTGTTACACGATTGGAAGAAAGATTCGTGGAAAACTGCAGATTGGAAGTAGCAGTATGATGTTGGAATCCAATTGACCCAAGGGATCAATTATCCTGTTGTTCCCCTCGTACCTACAATAACGATTAGACAATAATATTGCGCTCAAACGAACCTTATTCGATGAAATAGCGCGCAATCTTTTGAAAATTTCCTCGATATCTGCCTTGCTGGCTGCAGGATCTGCCATTTTTGACGTGTTGTCAACGTGCGTCACAGAGGATTCTGGGACGCGTGGCGAGAGCTAATTGTTCGGCGCTGAAGTCTCTCTCAGTGATGATACTATTATCCAGGTAGGTAGAAAATCCGTAGGATAAAAATTGAGAAATTCAAGCTGTAAAAAACTTCTTGACCCATCTTAATCGTTATTTTTAATGAAGTTCCAGTCCATTGAATCTTACATATTTCACATATCACGATCGAGTAAAAAAATTTTTGTGCGTAGCGTAAATGTGAATTCACCGTGTCATGCGCAGGGTGAATCTTCTATTAGAGCCGTTATTTTTATTAGTTCCCGGTGTCTCCATTGCGAGCCGCCACCATCTTCACCGAGAGATTGGGTTGGAGAGATACGATTCGATAAGTTAGACGGAAGCTAAATAATTCTCGCTAATTAGTGATATTGATAATAATAGTTTTTCAAAATTTATGGTTTCGTGCTATATCTAGTGATATATTAGAAATGCTGTGTTCCAATTGGCGCATTTCCGTTCAGTAAGCAATCCAATTGACGATAAAAATCGCATGGTCGTTTAAATTGCTAGCTGCTTGAAAATAACGCTTTCCGATTGTTGTATTTTTATCCATTTTCGGAAAATCAGTATTTTCATCTAAGTATTTATTGTTAATTGCTAAAAGTCAACCACGAAATGTTAAACTCGCCCCGATGTTATGCATAAAAAATAAGAAAACGCGCAAGATTCTTTTTATTATAATGATGACACAATGAGCACGTAAATCCTGAGAATACGTTTCATGTGATTTCATCCCATGAAAGCGTTTACATGTCTCGATAACTCAACATTTTTTCTCAACCACACAAGCGTCGAATCGTTGCCCCGTTGTATTTCTCACATTCACTTCCTCCTCTTCCAGACTGTTTAATCTAGAAGCACTGAGATTATGATCTTGTCCGACAATGGCCTGCTCGTACGTAAAACCTACTCATCCTGCTCAAGATTGTAGAGCATCTGAAAACCAGCATCCAGGCTGGGCGGAAAGCCCATTTCTGGATCGAGCAATTGAAGTGTCGGCACTTCACGATACACATTACCGAACTCGTCCAGTTCTTCGAACTGTAGTTTACTAGCAGCTTCATCTAGTACCATTCTGCAAAATTATTGTGCCATTATTATGATATGATGCAATCGTTTCTTTCTAAAGTGGCAATGATGTAGTAAATGACTCGGTTGTAAAAGCGAATACTTAGTACTACAAGTATTAAGTTCAAGTTGCCTCTGTCTCTCCATCATTTCTTCGACCTTCTTCTTCATGTTCTCTTCGAACTTCAGAATATATTCCTGATAATAGTCGTGCAGCGCTGTCACTCCTCCCACACCTGTCTCTACCAGCACTCTCTCTACAGTGTCCTGAGAAGTATAAATTTGTTATACATAAGCAATGGGTGGGTAAAAATTCAGCATACATTTAAATTGAAATATCCTGAAACGATATAATTTCTCTTTACAAAATTATCTCAAGGAAAATATGAATATCTCATTTCTGCCAATCATATATATCACTTGTTATATATTCGTTTCCTCTTACAGGAAATCCGTGATCCTTCTGTTCAACCGCGACTTTTAACAGCAGAGTCATCCTCCTCAGAAAATGATCCACAATGTCGGTGATGGTTTCTATAGCTATGTCTGATGAGCTTTCAAACCCAATGTGAGCTAATAAAATAGTCACAGTGTGCCTCAACAGGTTTCGCGCTGTTTGTGGTGTTAAATGATGGATGGTGGAGCAGTCTTTAAATTTATTTCTTAAACATCATAATAACATCAATTAATTAGGGTATTATTATGTGACAATAGATTATAATAGGAATTATACCTTTCTGTCTGATGAGGTGGAAAATGAAATAGATTCTTAGAATCTGTCATATTCTGTGAATCCTTTGAATCTACCATAGTCATGTTTCCAAGCACAGTTCCTTCCTCCTTTAAAGAAAAAAAAGGAAATTAATTGATTACTTGCCGAAAGCACATTTTCTATATGACTTTAGAATTGAAAATTCATTAAAATTTTTTTACTATTGTTCGCAGTTGTTGGTGAAGATTTATGGTGTTCAATACATGAAGATTTCCCATCGGTAACCTATAACAGAATGACATTAATAATGTACGATGATCAAATTTAATTTGTCACATTTATAACTTACTGTAAATATTCAGTTTGCCTGTCATTGCGGTAGTCACAATCAGGATTGTTTGAATCATCTATAACTTGCCGCCAAACATTCTCTATGATGTCCGGTGTAATGACTTCTTGCTTCAGCATTTCTCGCGCTGGCAATTCTCCCCATAACGAACCGTGGGCGAAATTTTTACTGGTCTTCATGGCTACTTAAAAATATGTACAAAACTCATATATAACTTACGTATTCATTTACAAATGCTGCAATCGATATTAATATGAAAGTTATATTTTATATTATATTGATTTTTTCCTCATTATATCGACTAGAAATTGTATTACATTAATATAATGTCACTTCATGCTTATTGAATGAATTTATGAACCATTGAATTGACCAGTATCGTGCAATATCACAACGCAGGTCAAAATTTTGCCGCGCTTCGGTGCTGCGCTTCGATCACGTGAATGACGTCACCACACCCGAGCGTCGTCATCGAACGAGAACACAACGAAGCGAGTGCCACGGATATTTTTCTCGAGGAAGTTTAGCTTACCCGACGATCGATCGTTCCAACAAGAGGAGAGCTTCTCGAAGCTATTGCAGCGCACCGAGGTGCCAAGGTACGTTTCACCTGAGCGATTCGCGCGACATCACTAGGTTAAAGTTGTCGGGCGCCATGTTTGATTAAATATTGCGAGACAGTCTTCTCGCTCGAACGTGTCGCGATAATCGATAATGTTTGAAATATGAACGCAAATTCAGCAAAAATGCATGCTTGACGTAGATTGGCATGTGATGAACGGCATTGTTCCTTATCATATTCATCGTGCGTGACCGAACGAAGCGCGTGTCGTTGCACGCAACGTCGCGTCGTAATTTGTTGCGAGCCTCGAATACGAAATACCCTTCGGTCGCAACGGCTTTGTTGTATATTTCCGAGCTATCAAATGTATTTTTTCGCGCCAGATAAAATCTGTAGATTACAAGAGTAAAGATCGATTATAGTCTGAGCGTCATTATGTCGCAGATATAGTGGTCGGGTTGAAAAACTTCCTCTCTCCGTGCAGCGACATTTGAACATCGTTCAAGTTGCGAACGTAGAGAAATGGAACCTGCAGCGATTTCGGTGCTGAAACGAGCGGTGGAGATGGACGAGAAGGAGCAATATACGAAGGCGTTGATATTGTACGAGGAGGGTGTGCAGATACTTCTCAACATTGTAAAAGGTACCATCGAGGATGCTTGTGTGAATCACCGTTTCTCTGCTTCTCTCCTGTTAACGATCTGCGAATATGAGGTAAATGCGAGGGACAGTGGCCTCCTCTTCGAACCTTATTTTTGACAGCAAATTTCCTAACCTTGTAAAATTTGAATGTTAAGGCTGATTGTCTGTTACTGAAATAGTTGTACTATGGCTTTTCAGTACTGACAGTGAATAACGAAACACAGCCTTTGTTTCACTACTACGGTTAGATCGGAGCATAATTTTCTATTTGAATGCAAATATTAAAGTATGTGATATCTATTTATGGTTTGCAAATTGTCAGAGAGAGGCTTCTTCCTTTTGTGTTTATTGCGTACTTTCCATTTAGTGATACAAGTTGATACTTAATTTTGCCGCTTATTAAATATGAAAGAAAGGCAAACTAATATTTGTGTTATTAAGTGGAAAGCATCCACTCTCTTTTTCTTGGTCTCGAGAGTCTTTTGTTAGAAAGTGTGGAAACTGTTAGGGTTTTATTGTATTACTACTTTTGTGACTCGGTTCAAGAATCGTTAATGAAACGATGTAGAAACAAAGGAAGCATCCAAGAAGGGACACTTTACTACTAAGGCAAAGAACTACCTGGAAAGAGCTGAAAAGCTAAAGAGTTTCATTCATGCGAGGAAGTTGGACGGCTTATACAGGGAGTCGACGAGGATTGAGAATGGATCGACAGGACACAGTTATGCAAGTGTTTTTGGCAGATTTTTAGACGGTACCGTTACTTACATCAATATCGAGGATCCATATATAAGAACCTTCCATCAAGTATGTGCATAACATTATTCAGAAAAGATGTATATTGCTATAACATGTATTTGCAATGTCATATTTATTTGTAGTGTCAAAACTTGGTCAGGTTATGTGAACTGGCTGTCCAAAAATGTTGCACATTGTCCAGGATATCTCTGCTTACGACTTACGATTCAGTAGATAACAATCAAATCACAAGATTGGCGGAGTTGAAAGAGAATTTGGCGTCTCATAAAATCTCTTTCGATTTCTCCTTCTCCGAGACATTGCACGACAGGAAAATCTCGTAAAGACAAATGCATATGTAGCCATTACAAAAAAAATTTCCGGATTCCTGTGTCAATCTTCCGTGTATTTTAGATTGAGCAACGGATGGATAATAAAAATCGGACGCGGATTAGACTACTTCAAAGCGCCGGATGGCAAATTCGTCCTCGGTATATGCGATCTGGACTTGAGGCCCTGTTTGGAGACCACAGTGGACATTTTCCACAAAGCACACCTTCAGGATAGTGGCAGTTAGAGGGTGCGAAGAACAAAGTGATCAATATCTTTTATAAAGTTTTAAAAATATAAGAATTATGGTACATTTTTTTTACGACCGAAAGAGAAAGACCGTATTTTTACACGTATACATTTGTGGAGGCAGGCGGGACTAGCCCAGGGCTACCGCGCGTGCAGAGGAAGAGGAGAGGAAGGTATCGAGTAGGGGCAGCCCTGTGGGTGTGCGCTAATAAAGCGGAGTCCTTATGACTGCTCACACGCAGCTATATTTTCTGGTAATTTTACAAACTCGCAAACGTAACAAAGGAAAACTGTGTGCTAAAGGCTAAGAACGTGGCGTAGAACAAAATGGCCGCGACGCTGAACGAAATGGCCGCAACGTGAGACGCAGAAATCGGAACGCTATATACAGTGAATTCGGCCCGCTAGGACGCGGAGCCGGCTCTTTTTTCTCACGCAGGGAGAGATACGAGACGCAGGCCGCTCAAGGCGTCGCGAGGGCGGCGATCGCGACGGAGGTCGGAGGGCGACGGTCGCGGGAGCGATCGGCGACGAGGGAGCGTCGCGAGGTCACTCGCACCCGCGGGCTGACGCGGAATCGCGAGCGACGGAACGAAGGCACTGGCACGCACTAGTTCGTAGTGTCGGTAGCGGAACGTACAAGAGTGGACAGCAAGGAACACTCACGATCACGTCCGTGTTGTCCAGAGTCCGAGAAGGAAGAGAGCGAGCTGGGGTCCTGGCACGACCGCCGGGACGCTTCGAAACAGAACACGATCGCGCCACAGAACACGTGCTTGGCCGTCGTTTGGTGTCGCGTGACCCTCGCGTGGTTCCGGCGGTGCGCGCGACGCGCCGGAAAAGCCGGATGGCGCTCGAGCCGGTCAGAAGACCGGGCGCGGTTGCAGAACTTGTTTTCGCGTATGTGAGGCCGCTCTGGGCGGTGGCGCCGCCGGTGACGGCGCGCGAGGTTCGACCGCCACATATCTGTACATTTCTTCCTAACAACGAGACAGTACTTTTACATTATAAATGTAATGTAAATTGTAATTACAGCTTATTGTTGTACAATATATATATATGTGTGTGTGTGTGTGTATTTACAGCCTTTTACCACGCACGACCTTTCACTGTCCACCCTCAATCCAACGCGCTGCTATCCTTGGCCTTCGCGATCCCGATTTGCCTCGCCGCCTTCTTGCACGCTCGCCTCAGCGACCTGGTGTATCTCAACAAGCCCGCTTCGACCTCGTCCTTCTCCGTTTCCGCCGGTAGACAGTCGGCGCCGCCGACCGCGACCACTTGTCGCGCGATTTCGGGCTCCACGCAGAGTCTGGTGAGCGCGGCGGCAGCGGTGACCTCCAGCCGTTGGTACGCGTCCTCCAGGCCGGGAGGTCTCATCCTTAGGAAGGAAACCAACGCCACGGAGGCGCGCACCTTCGCCAGGTGCGCTCGGCCGGCGGGAGTGCGCGCCAATTCGCCGATCAGCGCGGCCACCTGTTCCATCAGCCAGACATTGCCGCCGGTGGCGGATTTCTTCACGCTTCTCAGTAGCTTCCTCACGCTGTCCTCCGCCAAGATGACTTCGCTGCACAATCGCGACTTGGACATGTTGTTGAGTGCGGCGGCCGTCAACAGCAGCGTCTGGGCGCAGCTGGTGTTGTCAAGCAGCCGGTTCAGCGCCGGTATCAAGGAGCCGGCGAAAGGCTCGAGGTGAGGCAGACCTATCGCGTTGGTCCACGGCGCGGTGATCTGTACCACCAAGGCGGCGGCCTCGGTCTTCTCCTTCTCGCGAGTGGATTCCACCTCCAGCAGGTCCGTGAGAATCTCCGGGCCGCCGTCGCGGACGAAGTACTCGATGGCGGTCGTCGACGAGCATACGCTGGCCAGAGCGCGCAGCGAGACCGCGACCAAGTCGCACGAGGGATCTCGTGCGCTGATCAGACACGTCAAGAGCGCCTTTACCCCGGAGCACCGGGCTATGCTGCTTCCCGCGCGGCAATCCGACAATCCCAAGGCGGTCAAAGCTGCCAGAGCGCCGCGGGCTATGCCGCTGTCTTCGCGCGGCGCCTCCTCCAGGCCGCGGACGATTTTCTGAAAGGAGGCTCGATTAATGTCAATACAAACAAATCTTTTTATTTATATGATTAAGTACTATCATTACTGCCAATATTTAGTAAATTCCCAGTATTAAATTTTGCTGAGGAAACGCCTACGATTCTTATTTCACTGTTCGTTCTGATTGACGTATTTCCAGAAATCTCACGATATTGATCGGCGTGTGAACCAACCTCTATGTAAAAATCCAAACGCGCGTCGATCGTGCCGTCGACATACGTCTTCATGTTTTGCAGTTGCGCGAGGATGCTCCTCAGGCCGCCCTGTTGAATTCGCCGCGGAGGAGGCGCTCCCAATTGCGAGAGGATCGCGAACGCGGCTTCCTCGATGCTGCGGAGAAGCCCCATCTCGGATCGGCCACCTTCCAGGCGCGTTATTTTCCTGCGCGTGACGCGGACGAACTTAACTCGGTCATTTGTGAAAAAAAACTACTCGCTTCATTTAAATGTGGAATATAAAAATATTGCGCACACAACATCGCGATTAAGATTTAATTGTAACGAGATATTTTAACAATTAACAATTGACAAACATACATTTTCAGCAGCACTTACTCGACAATGTTGCGATAATGTTGCTCAAACTGCTCGGCGTCAGCCAAGAGTTTGCTCGCGGCTGCGGTGGCCGCGGAGGACATCATCTTGAGATCGCGCACGTGTGCCTCCCCGGATACCACCAGTGCTCTCCTGCGCGGCAGATTCTTGCTCTGCAGAGCGTTGCCGCACTCGTTCTCGGTCTCGATGGCGAGATCGGTCAGCCAGGCTCTCATGGACGACGATTGGCGATAATTTCTGGATTTCAACACGTCCCTGCCGGCGGATATCGCGGCGGAATCGACGGTGGAAACCGGCGATTTCGCGCTCGCCGGCCGCTGAACGCTGTCTTCCGGCGGCTCGGAGGCGTACAGAAAATCGCCCAGCCCCTCCAGCGATCCGACGGACGAGAGTGGTGCATTGGCCCGCGTCTCGTCGATGCTCCTGGAACGATTCGCGTCCGGTGAGTGCACTGTAAGAGTTGTGTAACAACCATACGTACATGTCACACGTGACTTCTCTCAAACGAATTACCGCGACGGAAGAGTCTAGAAGACGAGTCGCAGACCGAATATTCGATAAACATTCTACTTTTCCTCGCTCTCTTTTCGGTCGTCCTTGGCACTACCTTCAACGGCTACTATCGTCATGCCACAGTTATTATCCCGCTACTGAGAGATCTTCATCGTTACGTGATTACTCGCGATCATACGTCAGTCAATTTCCTCGGGTGGGAAGCGATCGCTGGTGGTAAACGCAATGACTAATCAAGACCGAGATCGTTCTTTCGCGATGACTAATCACGCTCCTGCAGCACCACAATGCGTCTACCTGCGCGCCGAATTCCTCGTAGATTCGCTGTCGCGCGACCGAGAACACGACACTGTGTCACGGCTCTGCCCGCCCGAGCCCGGCTCATTCTTCATTTACGTATTCCTCGTGCGACGCGTTGCATTGACTCACGTACGCGCGCACGAACGTACACGGTGACTAACAGAAAAGCATTGTGACGAATTTCGCAGCGTGCGTTCGACGCTTAATAGGATCAGAAACGCGCGAGAAAGGATACAACGGCATCGTGTTTTTAGTCCCGTTTCTCCCTCGTTCCGAAGTAAATATCATACGTGGTTAAGGGACGGTAAAAATGGCACCTGTAGAAAAAGACGAGATATCGCATCAATTGAGCTAAACGACTTACAGGGTCATCAATTTCTGTTGCAGAAGAAATTGAGAAAGAGTTTGGAATTCCAGTTGCAACCACAGTAAGTTAATCGTCGTTTAGCTCAATCGGAGTTTGTGTCCCCTTTATGCGTTGCTCCACTTAGCCTCGCCTTCCATTTGGCTGCGTGGCGATTCACACGTGCAAACATATCGGGTTGATCCGGCACTTTTTCCCCGTCGAATTCAATCTCACTCGTCGGCATGTTTCTATACTTGAAAAATTCTTTGTTCGTATCAACATTTATTCAGTTCATTTATGAGGAAAGATTTTTGAATCGTTAAAAATTTCTGAATAAAAATTTCTGAAAAAAATATGACGTTTTCGTTCTTCTCGGAAAGATGTGCGCGAAGTCTGCTCGTCCCGTCTCATCCGGCGCCCTTTTTACGTTATAAGGAGAGTGTACACGTGCTCATGACGCGAATGTAACGGTCCGACGATAAGACGAGACACCTACGGTTTGATAATCATTTGCTCGAGTGTCGGACACTTTTATCACACGGATATCGTGAGGAACATGAGGAGATTAACGTCGGTGCGTCGTTGCTCACCACCGACAATCCATGATTCACAGGTGTACATTGCGTTGTTGAAAAATGAACGAAATTATCTTAAGTGTCGCATTCCTATCAACTGGCTCATTTCTCCAATCTCATCGCAACTATTCACATTTTTCGAACCGAAGAATGTAGGTAAAGATATTACCTGCTCTTTTCTTCCTCGTTCGAAACAAGTAATTCATTGCCAAAACACATTTTGAAAAATAACTCCTCGGCCAACAAAGTAAGGTCAAATGACGTCTTAATAATATTTTAATGACATCTCCAACGTCGATAACACGTCATTAAGGCGTCGTTTGACTTGTTAGCTGGATCGTTATCGTTCATTGGTAGATAACGAGTTGTTATAATTATCGCTAAGTTTTGAACACCCTTTTTTCACCACCGAATCCGATGCATTCCGTACATCCAAAGTAACGATGAAAGTAACGATTATATTCGTCACTCATAAAATGTAATTGTCTTACCGTTGCCGTCACTGACGAAAAAGGAATACCGCTGTCACAAGGTCGTGTTATTGAGAAGTAACGGTAAGGACGTTACAAGTAACGAGTTACTTTCCAACTTTGCCGATTTGAGGCACAATCGGAGGTATTCGATCGATTGATTCTTACCTTCGTCCTCGCGACGAGCTCTCCGCGCGTCTCCCAAGACGATTTTTCATCGTCTGGAATATCCTCGAGTCTTTCGGCGTGGATGTGTGTTTCGGATTCGGAGGAGATATCTCTTCCGACCACGGTGAAGCGATCCTCAAGTGAAATTTCCACTCTCTTATCTTCCTCCGTCTCGATTTCTGTCTCGGAGTCGCGTTTTCGTAAGCCTCCGTACAGTCCGATCTCTCGGAGTCGGAAAATCCGGAATCCTGACTTTTTAGATCCTGGCTCAAAGGACTGCAGGATCTCGAAACGACTTTGTGCTTTTCTTCCTTCTTCGTTTCTTCCATTCTAAATGACCAAATGTTAATTAAGTACGGATGTTCTTTCCTCGACGAAGATTATCGACATGGCGATATAAGTCGTTAAATCACAATTTGATTTAGTAATCATTAATGTGTTCGTGCGAGTCTTTCGGTAGAGATATCATATGTAAACAATCACCCTGACACATTTGTCGCGTTGCTCTTCGTATAAAAGTATTAATCAATATGATAATTACGTTATTAAAAAGAAGTAAATTTAATTTAAGACAGTTGTACCTTTGTTTAATCAGCTCTTTATTTTGGTCGTATAATCGATTTTGTTGATATAATTATACGTGAAAAATTTTCAACGGGTATTTTAAAACAAAGAAATGTAATGCATTTAGATAAAGAAATGGGACGAACTTTTGCATCAGTCCAAGAAATCTGATTAGCGCTTCTAATATCAAACCTGCACATACCTTCCACACGCAGCACTTTCGTCGCGTATCGACGTAATTCGACGCGCGTTTTGTTTCGCATCCTCATCGGGACTTTTGCAGATACGTATCGCAGTGATATCGCCGCTGTCCACTGTGTCGTTTTCCGACTTGCCGGTCGAATCTTCTCCTCCTCTCTCGGTGTCTTCCTCACGGAAAAGGGATTCAAAATTGTCGCTCTTCGGATTTCTTCCCACCGAGTGATCGTCTTTCAAGTCCCGCGAGGCCATTTGGTCCCAGAACACTTTGCTCTGATATCTCTTGAGCGCGCTCATGATTTTTTTCTGATCACCCCACAAAACAAGAAGCGATCTTCTCAGATATTTTGTACGTTTGCAGGGTAGCGAGCGATAAACGTCCCGACCGAGGGATGCGCCCGGGGTGCAACGCAATGTCCGACCGGGGTGTTTTCACGAGTCAGCGGAGCGGAACGACCCTCCCACGTGGCTGGAGGACGACCGTATGGTGGCCGGCGCGACCCCATAAGCTGCCCGATGACACTTCCTCGGTAGATCTTCGCCTTGAGACGCGCAGCTCGTGGTATTGCTCGCACGATGGATTGCTTTCAAGCCGAAATGACGAGTTAACGAGTTGACGATATTCCCAGCAAACAAATACGCGATCGCGCGCATTCACATTCTCACACGCATGCGAAGCGCGATGATCGCGCGTTAATGCCTCACAATCGACTGACTGACTGACTCGCTTCCGACTTCCTCGCGCGATCTTTGCCGTCCCTCTTCTCCGCCCAAAGCGCATAAGCCAACTCGTGTGAAAACGCAGCTCCTCCCCTCTCGCCTTTGTCGTTTCTACAGGGGCAGCTTGCATGGGGTGCGTATCCCCCCCTCGTACGCACATCGCGCGCGTGTGTAACCGTCAAACCGTAACGAGGTCCGTTCTCTTGCACGCCGGAAGACGCTTAATTACTCCTCGATAGATAGATACAAGGTGATCCGGCTTCTGGTATGCAAAATAATAGATGCGCGAAGCGGCGCTCGTGGGTGCAGTTTCTTCGTCGTTCTCGATTTTCGCGATCGGCGGATCGCCGGATCGACGCGATAATAGTCTTCCAAGCGAGAGAAATATTATCAGGTCAAGTGATTCGACTGAGAAAGTTATATGTAATTATCGTTATCGTTATTAAGAGGAACGAAAAATAATGCTGTGTTACCGAAGAGAAGTAAATTATAACGATAATAGGGTTACAAGTATTTCTCAATTTTGTGTGAAATCTTCAAGATCCAGCCTTACCTTGAAACTTATATTCGTGCGAAATATTTAACAACTAAACGAAATCATCGTGAAAAAGATCTGATGTGATGTCCCGCAATCGGACAAGCGAGAAGGAAGTGATTAGCGTCCTCATGAGGGATATATTTATAAAGGCGTGATAAATAAAAATGTAACAATAGCTTCTGCACAGTAGGAGGCAAGAGAAAACGTTTCTATTTCATTTTCAAAGACGATGAAGTGGAGACGTCGTTCATTGGCGTCGCGACGTCTCGGGGGAAGCCGATCGTTCGGTTCTTCCTCGGCAGACGTCGCGAAATCACGCCAATGGCGCTTTTAAGGGCCAGGTGTGTGCAGCTATCGCTCCCCCACGTGCGTGCGGGGGTCCCGACCCCTGTCTTGTCCTGCCCCCAACAAGCATGGGATCCGCATTTTCTGTACGGTGCTCGCGTGTCAGCGAGGCGACGGTGCGGTGGAGTGTGGAGGCACGCGCCACTCCGGACATCTGCGTGAAAATGCCTGTAGTGATGCGTCATGCGTGCGTGTACGTGGATGAGTCACTAACACGCATCCGCGTTGCGTGAACATTTCTGAGAGAAAGAAAGACGCATTATGAAGTGCATTTCAGCGTGTACAGCCATTGAGGAGCTCGCTTTAAATGTTCGCAGAGAGCGAGGATTCGCAGGAAACGAGAAAATTGCAGAAGACGCAGAGAGAAAGATTTCTTTGGATATTTAATAAAATCTCTTTAATTGAGGCAGATTTGTCTCTTGGAATGGAGCAAACGAATGTTTGACCCAACAAACAGGATTGTTTGCTTTCTCATACAATAAATGTCTTTCCGTTAAATAATATGCTTTTTTTTTCTCTTATACGTTACAATATGATTGTCACAAGTGTTAATTATTTGAGAGAAATAAACGTTGTGCTAGAAAAATATTAAAGAGCTACTTTTCGTTTCAGTGGAACGATATTTAATATGTGATGAAATAAATGTTTCTTCTATTGAAAACCAAATGTTATTTTCTCGAAACAATACTGTTCAAATATGCCATGATTTATTATTAAGTAAGACAACTTTATTAGTAAGACAACATTTTCACTCAAATGAAATAATATTTGATATTAAACTATGTTTATTTGTATCGAACAAATCCAAGTCAAACAAACACGCATGCTAAATCCAAAGAAACATTTTCATCTGTATGCTCATAATCTTTCAATACATGTATAATTGAGATAATTGAATTGATAATTGAACACAGTGATTAATGCGCGCGATATGAGAGATGCTGCGTATTCGTGAGATATTTGAAATTCTAAGTGCCTCATTTGCCTTTCTTCAACGTTAGGCGATGGATATTGATGCTGGAAAACATCGAAAACGAAAAGTGGAAGTTTTAATGGTAGATTCTAGCAACGAAATCGTCTCCTTCGACCGATGTTCCTCGTTATTGTCCTTTGGAGTCCCAACTGTGCGTCTAGGAGGCGAAGGGGAGCGTACGACCCCTATTGTACTGAGAAAAATGGGGGACAGATGTGTACAAACCGTTACTAAAGCGCGCGCGCACCGTCCGTGTAATCTGTATACGCGACATTTAAATTTTGATGACGCCCGCAACGTCTCGAATTTAGCGTATCGATGAATACTTGATTCATCTTCACTAGTTCATTTTGCTAGTCGTTTCTTCGATTATAGGAGATTCAGGGAGAGAAATATATCTTATTTTTCTAACGATGTTTGATTAATTCTATTTTTAGCCTAATATATTGTCAACATCCAAGAGTTTTACTCATACGAATTCTATTGACAGAATTCTGAATAACACGCTCTTGCGCAACTGACTGTATGTTATTATTATAGTTTTAAAAGCTTGGAAAAAATCCGATTTTTTCAATAAGTCGTTCTGTTTGAAAATAAAGATATATATATTTTACCTATCGTCGAGCCGTTTTGACTCGATTCTTCTGTAAAAATGGTAGCGACTCGTAACAGAGATTTTGAAACCAACAAAACTCCCCCCGAACGTTTCCCGCTGGAAACGCTATATAGCTGTTCGATTTTTCTTAGTTCTGAAATCTCCGCTATGAGCCGCCACCATCCAGTGAGGATTCGAGATTGCAGTATGACTCGCGATTAGATAAATAATTTTTTTATTTATCAAGTAGTACGTCTCGATGACAGAATAGTGAACCATCGGTTGTCAAACGTGATGCAGCTATGTGACAGCTGCTGTGGTAGTTTGTTTTAAGAAGGACTGCAGGTAACCGATAAAATCGTAATCATGTCATCGCCGTACTTGACAGGAGGCAGGTTAAACGTTGGCCTTATTCAAGAACAAGCCAGGAAACAGTTACTTTGTTTGCTGGAGAAATGCGATGGTTCGAAGGTATGATGCGATAAATAGATTACAAAAATATACAAATTTATTTTTCAAAATATTTCTATATTGCATGTAATGTTTTTATTATTCCTCGTATACAGGCTATTATATGGGATCAGTCATTGGCTGGACCAATTGGTCTTGTGGCAAAATATAATTTGTTAGAAGAATACGGTGTTGTGAAAATGTATCCGTTATATGGTGGAACTTTGACAATACCATCAAACATTGCTAACATCATATTTATATCGAGACCACAATTAGAGCTTATGGACTTAATAGCAGAGAATATTCGTGGGTAAGTTTACAAGGAGTGTTGCATGTAAAATATGAGATTTGTAATAGGGACTTCATAAAATGTATCTTACAAGTATATAATTATCATTATGTTTATATAGAGAGGAAGATAAAAAGCCACGTAAAGAATTCCACTTATTTTTTGTGCCGCGTAAGAGTCTACTTTGCCAAAAGAAGCTTCAGAATCGTGGTGTATTTGGCAATTTTACACTGATAGAAGAATTTAAATGCGACCTCTTCCCATTCGACAATGACTTACTGTCGATGGAGCTGAGTAATTCTTTCAAAGAATTTTACTTGGAAAACGATCCTACTTGTTTATATCAAGTCGCACAGGCTATACAAGGTTTGCAGAGATTGTATGGAAAAATTGTGAAAGTCACGGGGAGAGGACCAGCTGCTAGCAAAGTTTGGGAATTACTAGAGAGATTAAACAGAGAAGAAGAAGACACATTAAATAAGATAAGGGCTGTCTCCTCCGTTGCCATTGAACATTTGTTACTATTGGATCGATCTGTGGATTTACTTTCACCTTTGGTCACACAGTTGACTTACGAAGGTTTAATCGATGAGATATTTGGAATAAAATACAGCAAGTATCTGTTTGATATTTTCTGCTATATATTTTACACTTCGAACATGTGACCTTTAAAATTATCAAAATCTGAACGAGATATTTCTCTTCAGATACCGTGCAATTGCCTGCAAGAAAGTTCCACGATTCCGACGATTCTCCCACAGCGATGTCGTTAAATGAGAAAGAACAAATCATATTGAATTCAGGGGAAGAACTTTTCGCTGAAATTAGGTGTGTATTTGTATGGATTTTCTCGTGAGTGAGAAAAATTCCCGTAAAATTCTTTGACTTACAGAGACAAAAATTTCAATGGTGTCGGGCCAGTTCTCAGTAGGAAAGCCAAAGTAATATCGTCCCAATTTGACGAAAGGCACGGGGACAAGAGTGTGCAAGAAATCAAACAGTTTGTCGCAAGGCTACCGCATATGCTAGCCACCAAGCAGTCTTTGGCAAGGCGTAAGTAACATACGTCTGAAACGATTTTCCAGTACGTGTATTGCATTTTCTCTTCGTCGCAATCGTATCTTGTTCAGACACTACGATCGCGGAGATGATAAAGGAAGTCACAGATTCGAGCAGCTTCTTGGAATCGCTGCAAGTCGAGCAAGAACTGTTAAATTGCATCGACACGGACAAACCGAATGCTTACATCGAGGACATGATAGCGCAGCAACAGCCGTTGCTGAAAGTTTTACGTCTTCTTTGCATACAGTCGTTGACGAATTCCGGTTTAAAACCGAAGCTGCTGGATTATTACAAGAGGGAGATAATACACACTTACGGATTCCAGCATCTGCCGACTATATTAAATTTGGAAAAAGCCGGATTGCTGAAGCAGCAACAGTCGGTGCGGCAATACGCGGTTCTGAGGAAGGCGTTGAGGCTCACAGTCGAGGACGAAAGTGAAATAACGCCGAAAGACATCAGTTACGTACACTCCATATACGCGCCACTAAGTGTGAGATTAGCGGAGCAACTGGTGCAACCGAGTGGGTGGCAAGGATTAAACGACATGATGGGATTATTGCCAGGCCCTACCGTGAGCAGTGTTCCGTATAACGCACAACCCTCATTAGTGAGGCGTAAGTTAAATTTATAATTTACTTGAACCTCGCTATTCTGACCCGAAATCATTTCTCTGTTACATTTTCATGAGTGAGCGTTATGACTTTGTTTTATTATAGCTTAGTTTCAAATTGATGAAACAAATTCACAAAAACAGGGAAGTAGAAATGATTTCAATTAGAACAGCAGGATTAATACATTTCTTATACACGAGAGGTGTCATATGAACAACATCCCTTGGAGGTTTGGATTGAATCACGTCTGATCGCGTTTCTAAAGACACATTTCGCCCCAATGAAAACTGATTCCAGGAAACTCGATCACTAGCGAAGACTCTAGTTCTGAACCGCCGAAGTTGATTATGGTATTTTTTATTGGAGGATGTACATTCGCTGAAATATCCGCCCTTCGATTTCTGTCGCAACAAGAAGATTGTAAGTATCGTGCGATAATTGAAACAGTGGAGATTCATACGGATATACACACCGGAGGTTTGTTCAACATGAAAATTTGTTTTCAGTGAACGTCGAATTTGTCGTGGGGACCACTAGACTGATCAACGGTGATACGTTCCTCACTTCTCTGATGGAGGATCTAGAACAGACGTGATGAGGAAATTATATATTTCCAAATACCAAGCATCGTCATTCTTTTAATTCACAATTTTTATCGTTAGAGTAAAGCGAGGCTCGACCGTGTACGAAAGAATAACTTTCTGTTTCACTCGTGAAATGCGAGCATTAGATTACACACGCAAGACTCGCATATATCTACTATAAATTAATCCTCTAGATACGTCCCCCCCCCATCCTCATTTTCTAGAATGTCAATTAGGGAAATAATTTTAGATATGTGCTTTTCTCTGCAACGAACTATATAATTAAGCTGTATATGACACAACATGTCATGTATATGTTTTACTCCGTAATATAAACTAAGCCAATGTTATATAATACAATTGTACAACTGTATTGTAACATCGGATTAATTCACACGTTAGAGAGTAATATACAGGGAACATTGTTCACCGTGCGTACTTAGCGTTGTAAACGCGTCCTTAAGACGAACGATCCAATCGAATCTTCTGCAATTGGTCTTGCAGCTGGGCGTAATGCATCTGCAACGAGCGTTCTCGCTCCGTTTGCCTGTGCACATCCTCCATCAGTCCGTTTATTCGTCTAGGGATCGCCGCCTCTTCTTGCGTCTGCAGGAACTTGAATGTCGATAGTTCGAGATGCGCTTGTTCTATCTGCTCCCACACGTCGTGCAGTTGCTTCGTCAGTACCTGCGCTCTGGTCTGTTTGAAAACCAAGTAACTTACTTATTTAGTCTTTAATATTTCGGTATTTAAAATAGTTTTTTTAAGATTTCTGTGTCCTTGCTTTGGCTGTCCTTATTTTGATGACGTCATAAACGAGCGCAAATCGCATGCGAAATATGTCGCGTGGAGAAGAAGAATATATGCACAAAAAAATGGCATTCATGAACAATTCAGCATATTTGTAAAAAAAAGTCCTTTCCATTAACACGTTAACTGCCACGTCAGTCACCAGTGACTGACACTGAACTTTCCGTTCGGGGCGCGTCAGTCACCGGTGACTGACAGTATAAAGTACGATATAAAACTAAAAAAATTACATAGTTTAATAAGTAATTTCAGAATCGTATAATTAGTATACTTAAATATTTCTTATCCAAAAATTTTAATGGATTTGGCCTGACGGAGATTTCCTCCGAAATGCGCGTGGCAGTTAACGTGTTAATCTACTAAAATGAAAAAATAATAATAATAATTAACATGAATTAACAAAACAAAAATCATGAGAAAAAATAGGTTAAAAAAATAAGTTTTATGTTACACTAATCTTCGGCTATTTAATGATTGTTGAGGTTCAAGTATCCGGACATTTTTACAAGTGTACTGAATCGATCACACAGTAACTTTAAATGCAAAAATTGTCAGGATTTCCATGCTTTGTATTCAGTTTTTTTCGTAATGAACAGTAATTACTTAATCTGTTCTTTTTCGCTGAACTGGTTGCAGCAGTTCAAGAAATTTACATACATTGAAGAATCTCGTACGTACGTATGTCCAATAGGAGAATTCGTTTTCTATTTTTTTTTTATAATTCTCAAGAAATACATTTTCCTATTGGATACAAGGTCGACTTCTACTTACCTGATAACCACCGGTCAACACTTTCAACTTCTTCTCCATCCTCGCAGCGCGTTTAGCTTCACCGGTCATGTGCATACGATTCTCCTCCAATTTCCTCTCGCATGCCTCCACTCGATCCTTCTTCGAGGCTAGTGTCGCGCGAGTGTATCGTTTTTGCGTTTCCAGATACAAAATTTGCGACAAACACTCTTCCCACACTGTAGTGTAAGCGTCTAAGCTCAATTCTCCGTGCGCCATTCCTTCCTTTACGACTGCCATTTCGTCGCCTAACATTTTCTTAGCCTAAATTTGAGCATTATCAAAATATTATTAACAGCAGCTGAGGTTGGCGACGAAATATTACATAATATAATAATATAATATAATAATAATGAATTATAATTAATGATATAAAAAGGGTATATAAAATAAGAATGCTTACGGTGAGAAGCTCGACTTCCTCGAAGGTATCGTATGGATGTTGGTCCAAATAGGCTTGTGCCTGAGCCAATGACATCGCGGCACCCTTCCGATTCGGCATCGTCGGGTTCTGCAGCGAATCGTAGTGCAGCATTGTGATCATTTCTCTTTTTATCAATTCTTCCGCCTATGAATATGTAATGATGATTAATTAAAGATCAATCGATCGGAAGCGTCTAAAACTGAAAAAAAAAAACATACCCTTTGCAAGTCAGTTAACGGTGTGTCCATATAAGGTCTTAAAATATTCATATTCACATCCACAGGACGCGGTAACTCTCTTTGTATCACTTGCGATCTGCGTGCCAATTCTCTTTTCTCTAAAAAGAGGACATCTCGTTAGAAAGAATCGCGTTGAAAGTGTTATCAAGTAAGTAGAAGTTGATATTCGGAATAAAAGAAAAATATAATGCCGTTAGAAAGTTATTGCCGGAAGGAAAGGCGTTATTTTGCAATCCATTTCTCGGAATTTTCCCGCAAACTACGAGAGATCGGCTCACTTTCTTCTATCAATTCCTGTTGTTGTCTCGCGTCGACGTCCGCTTGGTCCTCGATCATATCAGCAGTTGCCGGCATGCTGGCACTCTCCTCGTTTATTTCTTCGTCGCGCATGTCTATCTCGTAATCGTTGCAAGGCGCCGGTAGGGAGCTCAGTGCCGCGCGCAACGTGCTCCTCGCTTGCGTTTGTATGAGCGGAGTTTCCGAGCCGTCCGCACTTTCGTCCGGATTAATGTTGAGCTTATCACGGACGGGTGTCGCCACCAAAACGCCGTTTTGCGTCCGCACTGACGCCCCGCCCGGTGTGTTGAATGTATTCGTCCCGTCGCTGCGTTGCGAGCGAAACGGAGTTGTTAAAATCGTATTCGGCGTCGCAACGACATTGGTAGGTGGCGCGACACCGGTGAAGTCCGGGTTGTTGAGCGGAGTGTTCAGTCCTCCTGTGGAAGAAAGATCAAGCGATCGGAATGTTACGAAGTGTTAAATGCAACCGGTCTAATAACAGCCGTATTTTTTATACCGCAGACATACTATATTCACAGCATGAAATCGACTTAATTTCCGCTGTTGTAACTAAAACTTGCTTGTACGAAGATATAAAGAATTAAGTTATACTATGATAGCACTAATAGTTACAATATTAAATCGGTTTTATGCTGGTCATACAGTATCGATATTTTAGACCAAACGCGATCATTATACTAACCCTTCAGTGGCGTGTCCACGTGTGTAAGAGCCATGACGTTTTGAGCTTCCTGCAATATTCTGTCCGTGACGGCCGGTGTGCGTGGCGTTACCGCTGCGTTTGTAGGCAAGGAATAATCAGCCAGCAAGCTGTCGGACAGCGTGATACCACTCTCAGTTGCAACTTCTCGCGCGACCTGTGATATATGTCGTGATATACATCTTACTGTGTAAACAATATACACACGATCAATCATACCTCCGACGCCCGGCCGAGCTTCACAACTTGCTGTAATTCTTGGTCGGAGATTTGCGGTTCTGGCAGAACCAATTTGCTCCTTTTCCTTATGGGCTCCTCATTGTTGAGCATACCCATAGGTATATCGTTTTCCTTCCGTTGCTTCAGTTTCTGCTTATCCTTCCTGCGCTCCATCTCTTCCTTCTCTTGTCTGAGCTCGCCGTCCAAATGCTGTTGCCTCATCCTCGAGAAGTCGATCGCTAGCGGATCGACGTGCTCGTTCGAAGTGTCGTAGAAACCGGGCGCGGGTCGTTTCTCAAACGGTATCTCCGTGTTGTAGTTGACACCGCGTTTCCGTTTGTTCTTTTGTGATATTGTAATGCCGGCGGCTCTCAACTCTCTACGTTTCTGCAAGGCAGCGAGCCTACGTGCCTCTTCCAATTGCTTTTCACGCGCCTTGCGTTTCGCCTTCTTCCCCTGAGTGTTTGCGAGTCTGGCGCGTGCCTCGGACAACATCTCCAATTCTGTAAAAGAGTATCAACTAAAAACGGAATTATTCTAGTAGATATTGATAAAAACGGACCACCCCGGTTATCATAGAATATGAATTTTCAAATCTTTCCCGTGAGCTTAAACAAGCATGGGAAAGATAGCTTATATTATTAGAAGCTGCATAAACTTGAAAGTAATACGATCCCAAATGCGAGTTCAGACCAACAAAATTGGGAAAAAGAATACAGTTAAGAGCATTTAAGGGAATTGTAAACATGAAGTCAACAATTCCAGATTTTTTTATATCTTTCCTCGACATTTTACATTTACATGACTTTTCCAGGTCTGTGTTTGACATTGTAATTATTCTTCATGGCTTTGTTTCATAAACATTCACTTCTTCGGAGTGAGACTTACAACTCGAGATTATATCAGGATCGTCGTCATTTGAGTTAAAAACAATGAGACAGCTAAAACCTCTTGAACTCTATTCACATAACTTTGACAATACATGACTTTTGGAAGATGGTTTTTGGCCCATTTTTATCAATAATTACCATTATTTTTACTATCATCGGTGAAAATCGCATCGTGGTGTAAATAGAATTAAGGCTGCAATTAAAGCTGTTTTGCCTCAATCTTCAGCCTACCATCTTCATCCATATCTTTAGGATCTGGCCGGGCTGGCTTTGTTTCTGGATTAGGATCAATTTCCCCGGGCTTAAGTTTACGAGGATCATCAGCGGCATCGTCTCCTTCTTCTTTCTTTTGTGCTTGGTCACTAAAGTAAACAGCCAGTGATGTAAAGCAAAAATATCAATTGGTATATTACCAAGTAAAATATAATTAAGTGGTATATATTGAATAAATGCCGCTTACAGCAAATATTCATATCGTTCTAAGCACTGCGCGGCAGTTCTTCCAATTATGGGTGCAATTGTTCGCCACTGGGTAGGCATTAATTTCGCAAGATGAAGCAACTTCTCATCTTCCTCCCTGCTCCACTCGGTTTTTTTGATACTGGGGTCCAACCATTCAAACCAACGAGCTTTGCATTGTTTAGCAGACTTTCTATGTAACAGTGATGCTATTCTGCTCCACTGATTTTTGCCATATTTCATCACGGCCGCTTTCAGAATTTCATCCTAAAAACCAGATTAACGCGTTAAATCTCCCATTGTGACAAATAAGATTTTAGGTTACAAAGTATCTTACATACCTCCGTATTCCGCCAAACCCCACCCTTTATCATAATACGAGGCATTTTGTACAGGTGGTTTATTCAAGAATGCAGCAACAATTCGACTGTTGTCAATAATCTCTTCTACAATTCGACGTTACGTTAAACCGCGGATTCTTTACAATAAAAAGTCCGATTCGTAGCGACAATCCAGAACAATGTTGTTATGAGCTCCCTCTTCGAGCATGCGCACGCAGTTGCAGAGATGTGTAGCCAAACGGTCGTCACAGTTTAGGGTGAAGTTGTGCGTAATAGAATTGCGGAATTGAGAGTGCGTCATAGAAGCAACCAATCAGCAGACAAAACTCACGTGAAAGAAAAGAGCGCCGATTGGTTGCTTTTCTGACACACTTTATTAAGCATACGATGCTTGTTTCGTGCTTGCCGGATAGAAATACTCCGATTGGTGCATTTCCAAAAATGGACACCAATCAAAACGCAGTATTCCCATGAATGATTCGGTCCGACGGAAAGGAGTTTTGACAGCATTTCGCCGCTGCTGGTAATACAGGAACCTACGATCGAACTTTCGTGGCGCCACCGGCGCGATGCCTGTGTATACGATATACAGAAGTACGGTGTGAGCACACAGCAGAAGCGGGCGGAAACGCAGCGTAGGATTTTTCGGGAACCGTTCGGTGAGGAGGGCTCGCTCTCACTTTCCGTGCGTGCGTGCGTCCGTCGTGTGGTGCGCCATGGTGATGTAGTAGTGTGCATGTACGTGCGTGCGTGACGTACAACGACGAGGAGGAGGAGGAGGAGGCGTGTATTGTTCCGGGGCGCGGTGCGCGGTTTCGCGCGATCAACGGCGGCAGCGGGATCGCTCAGACAGGTGCTTAATATGCCCGCGGGATCGGCCAGACCTTTCGGGAAAGAGAGCTGCTGCTCCTCCTTCGCTTGAAGAGAGTGCACCGAGAGCCTGCGAGGCGCATGCCTCCCCGCCCCTCGCCATTTTGGAGGTGAATACAATTTTCTCGGCCCTTTCTTTTTTAGTTCCCGACCGATGTAGCTGCTTCACCGCGAATTAATAACGCCAGCCCGCCGACGAACGCGGCTCGCGTTAATCCGACGTGTGTGCGCTGTCGTGTTGCTGGTGTTTGTCGTCGACAGCAACGCGGTGCAGCGTTGCATCGACGGACGAGAGGGCCCTCCTTACACCCATCCTCCTGCGTCGTCTCTACCGATCTCCCTCTCTCTCTCTCTCGCGCGTCTCCTGCGAAAAATTCGACGAGAATCTTCAGGCTAAGGTTTGTTCGTCCGAGAGGCTCTTTCGGGAGCGCTCCCCGTCTCTCTCTCTCTCCCCCGTTGTCTCGCTCGCTCTTTTTCACTCTCGCCGCCGCTCGATAATTCTCTCTCTTTCTCTCGACGCCCTCGTCGGAACGCCGCGCGCCCTGCCGAATTTCGCTTCCGATCCGCTGTGAGAAAGATAGTCGTCGTGCGGTGATGCACCGGTGATCGTCGCAGAGAGAGAGAGAGAGGCGCGTCTTCCTCCTTTGACAGTTCCTCCTTTCCCGATGTACTCTCTCGCGCGAGTAACGTGACTAACGCGACAACAATGACGGCGGATCTGCGGGAACGTGCCTATTTCTGTGTCTTTCGAGACTGTGTCGTTCTTCGCTCTCGACGACGACGGCGGCGGATCGCTTTTAGATATCTCTTTCTTTCTCTCATCTCTCGGTCGACGAAAAAAAAAAAGGCAAAATCTCGGACAATGGGGCTAACGTGAATGTTTATTGTTCGTTTATACCGCAGCGTTGCGCGCAAAGCATCCGTGTTTTCCGTCCGACTTTTCACATTGGAAACGTCTTCCCTTTCCTAAGAGAAGCTCGTAGACTCTTCGGTGAATCTGATGTTCGTTAGCGATCGTATTATAAGAGGGCGAAAAAAGTTTGTAATAAAATTCAGTAACGTCCGCGATAAAGTTGAATTTCGCCGACGACACGTTGAGAAGTCAAGAAGATAATGACTGCACTCTCTTTTGCAGATAGAATATTAATCTCGGGAATGGACTGACAGAGGATTCATCGAAAATCAGAAGGTTCGGTCATCAAAAGACAGTAACGGGACAAGGTGTCTGTACAAGGCCTCGGGCGTCCAACCAACTCGACTATGCCAGCTGTTGCAAGGCCTGGTAGTTTAAAAGACCCAGAGATCGCCGAATTATTCGAGAAAAATGACCCGGAGAAGATATTTGAGGATCTGCGCGAGATCGGGCATGGTAGTTTCGGGGCTGTTTACTATGCACGATGCCTGGTTACCAAAGAAATCGTTGCCATCAAGAAGATGTCTTACCTGGGGAAGCAAACGGTGGAGAAGTGGCAGGACATTTTGAAGGAGATCCGATTCCTTAGGCAACTTAATCATCCTAACACTATAGAGTATAAGGGTTGCTATCTCAGGGACCACACTGCCTGGGTATGTTATTTTTTTTTTCCGTCGCCCACTTTTTTCAAGTAGAAAACTTCCTCTAGTCGAGCGTCAAGTTATAAATATTGATAACTTGCAGCTGGTGATGGAATATTGTCTTGGCTCGGCATCAGATATTATCGAGGTGCACAAAAGACCTTTGAAGGAAGACGAGATAGCTGCGATATGCGAAGGTGTACTGCGCGGCTTGCATTACCTTCACACTCTCGGAAGAATCCATCGTGACGTAAAGGCGGGGAATATTCTACTTACCGAAAACGGTACGGTAAAATTGGCTGATTTTGGGTCCGCGAGCATCAAATGTCCAGCCAATAGCTTCGTAGGAACTCCGTACTGGATGGCACCGGAAGTCATATTAGCTATGGACGAGGGGCAATATGACGGCAAAGTTGACGTATGGTCGTTAGGAATAACATGCATCGAATTAGGTATATATCGATCTAATATGTTAAATTGTTACGACGCGCTATCTATTTTAACTTGAAGGTCAGAGATTAATTATCGACATTTGTTACAGCGGAAAGGAAGCCACCCTACTTTAACATGAACGCTATGAGTGCTCTTTATCATATTGCACAGAATGATACGCCAACTCTAAATTCTCCCGATTGGACCGACGTCTTTCGTCACTTCGTTGAAGTGTGCCTGACAAAAAGTCCAATCGAAAGACCAACATCCGGGAAATTGTTATCAGTGAGTTGTTCTTAGGAATGTCCGCGATGATACTTTATGCGTTACTCTGTATTACACTGTAAGTAGTACGTTAGTAGCAGTCTAGTTGTTCTCTTTCAATTTTACAGCATCAATTTGTCACCAGAACGCGTTCTCCTCAAGTTTTGATAGATTTGATACAGAGAACGAAAGCTGCTGTCCGGGAATTAGATAATTTGAATTACCGTAAAATGAAAAAGATACTGATGATTGACGCGTGCGAAACGGAGAGCACAGTTGGCGATACTGACGGTACGTCCTTTGCAGACCCACTTTATCAAATATAAAACCGGCGGAATCTAGAGAAAAATCAAGAGATTTAGGGACATGTAGCGCCCGCGAAAAATAAGTAAAAGAAAAAACGATGTCTCTAAAGCTTCTTACCCTTCATCGTGCATGCTTTTTTTTTTCTTTCTTTTGAGTACGCCGGTGGCTAGATGTGCTTTTATGCCGAGGAGATTTCAAACTGATGGCGCGTTACAGATACTCCTGATGAACAAACAGGTGGTGATAGTAGCAAAAGCAATTCAATTACCTCAGAACACTCGATCCACTCGATAGGCGTCTCGGCGAGCTCTCAAAGTTCCTCCACGAATAGCCTGCCGCTGCCGAATGCCGATAGTAACGACTACTCCACGGGATCTGTCCGAAATCGGCATAAAGTTTCAGCAGGCGGTGTCACTGCCAATCTTCTTGAACACGGTGCCAATAATTTTGCGACAATTAGGACAACTTCGATCGTTACAAAACAACAAAAGGAACACATGCAAGAAGAGATGCATGAACAAATGAGTGGATACAAACGAATGAGGAGGGAACATCAAGGTGCTTTGGTAAGATTTCAAACATTTACTTCGTCCTTCTATCCGTGTATCACAGTATTCTTATGCTTTACTGAAAATCATGTCATGGTGCCTGAAGAAATCATCGAATCGAGATGAATTAAGCAGGTTATGTTTAAAAGTATATATGAAGAATGTTTTTATATCGCTAAAAAGGTCGATTGCTCTTCTATCCTAAGGTAGATATAAGAATATATGTATATATATTCTGAACATATATACGTATATTTTGTGTTTAAATATTTCTATTTAAGAAATGTCCAGAGTTATAGGTCCATCCATACTTATGGCTCTCATGTTATTAAACGAAAAAGAAGGAAAACGTGACTATAATTTGATAAACTGCAATTTAAAAAAAAATTTTTTTTTTTTTATTTACGATGCTCTCTGCCGTTGTTGTAGGTAAAATTAGAGGAACGCTGCAAAATGGAAATGGAGTCGCACAAGCAACTGTTGGATAAGGAGTACGAGACACTTTTGCAGCAATTTAGTAAAGAGCTCGAGAAATTGCAATTGAGACATATGCAAGAACTGGAGCGTAAACTGAAGCAAAATCAAAACGCGGAAAAGAAATTACACAAGGAGATAACAAGTAGACAGGAGGCTGATCGTAAAGCTCTAGAAGCTCAACAGAAAAGAGAGTACAAAGTAAGATGCCCGAGTATCCAGTTGTAACGGAACAAGCGTTGAAAGTCCACTGATGATAAAACACATTTTCAATTTTCGTACGTTATGTGAATGTCGTTTAATTTTGTAGGCTTACAAAGAAAGATGGAAAAAGGAACTTTCTCAGGACGATGTGACGAAGAGGCAACGAGACGCTACCCTTCAAAGTCAAAAGGACAATTTAAGGCAGATGGAAGCGCAAGAGGAACAGCGACTCGCGAGGGGACAACGAGAATACTTGGATCTTGAAATACGTAAATTCCGTAGAAAAAAGTTACTCATCTTCCACAGTCTCGAGCAGGAGCTCCTTCGCGAAGTTAGTATCAATACACCGACGTACTAACACAATATATACAAGGCTAAACAATTACCTCCCGC